ATCCTTAGGGATGCTGCCGTCTTCCATGCTGTGAACATGGCGTTCCTGAGACAGGAGCGTGAACATGCTGGGAGTGTGGCTTGGCAGAGCACATCTTTGTTTGAGACTCTGTCCTGCCATGTGCCACCTCGCTTAACTAGCATCCCCTGGATTCTTTGGAAGAAGCTTGAAACCCACCCATCCATCCTTTTTACTGGGCATTCATGATTATTTGTGCTCATGATGACATTGGGACAGTTTTAAATGACTCTGCTTTCAATACTGTACATGTTTCATGATGTACATACTGCTTTGTTTCCAGAAATGCATGTCCCATAACTTCTGAAACCCTGTAACTTTTAATACCACAAATGCAGTTTTGTGTTTGTGTACATTCTGCTTTTGTTGAGCTGTTGTTGTTGTTTATGTTCTGCTTTTGTCGAGCTATTGTTGTTGTTGCTGCTGCTGCTGCTGTTGTTGTTGTTGGATACCTGAAGGAGCGTCTCCATTCCCATCATTCGGCCTGGACACTGAGGTCAAGTGCCGAGGGCCTTCTGGTGGGTCCCTCCCTGCGAGAAGCAAAGTTACAGAGAACCAGGCAGAGGGCCTTCTCAGTAGTTGCACCCGCCGTGTGGAACACCCTCTCATCAGATGTCAAAGGAATAAACAACTATCTGACGTTTAGAAGACATCTGAAGGCAGCCCTATTTAGGGAAGTTTTTTTAATGGCTGATGTTTTAATGTACAGTCATACCTCAGTTGAGCGTTTTCAGGTTATGCTCCGCGGCGACCTGGAAGTAACGGAACGTGTTACTTCCGGGTTTCGCCGCTCGCGCAGACGCTCAAAATGATGTCATGTGCATGCGCGGAAGCGGCGAATCTCGACACGTGCAGACGCGGGTTGTGTTTGCTTCAGGATGCAAACGGGGCTCTGGAATGGATCCCGTTCACATCCAGAGGTACCACTGTATTTTTAATCTCCTGTTGGAAGCCGCCCAGAGTGGCTGGGGAAACCCAGCCAGATGGGTGGGGTATAAGTAATAAATGATGATGATGATGTTAATTATTATTATTTATTTTTTATACCCCCTTCATCCACTCATTACAGGGTGGTAAACAATATAAAAATACAGAAATACATAGCATAATAACAAACAAAAATAATAACTCCACCACAGTTTAACGATCCATAGATCGTTTAATTAGCCAAAGGCCTGGGAGAAGAGGAATGCTTTTGTCTTGCATCTAGAGATAATGTAATGAAGGAGCCAGGCGAGCCTCCCTGAGGAGACCACCAAGCTATAGCACAGGAGTTCCCTTCTAGACAGCAGTATTATGGTAACACTGGAGAAGCACCGCAGAACAACTAATACAGTGGAATTATGTGTGAATGTATAGGTCTCCCAACAACATGCTTATTGTGTCAATGGCACATTGCAGAATATACCTGCAAAACACATGAAGGAGCGCCTATGATAAAGTAAGGGCCCCAAGATAATTTAAGTGGGACAAGTACAAGATAAGTTCACATTCCTGCCAACATTTTTTGATGAAAATTCGGCCTACTGGAAGGTCTCCCAGGCCTGTGCTGCTTCGGGAGGCGCGGTGCAGACTGGAGGAGCCTACCAGAAAGTCATGCCGGCCTCCCCTGCATCTAGAGATGCTGTGTGGACCGGAGAAGCCTACTGAGTGGTCAACCCAGCCTGTGCAGCTTCGGGAGACACTGCGTGGACAAGACCCGCCTCCTCCTCCTCCTTCTCCTCCAGTGCCACAGACAAAAGTGCCATGGCAGAGGGAGGAAGAGGAGAGATGACAGGTGGGGTGAAGGTAACTTTTCCTTCCGTTTCTTGGTCTTGCAATCTGGTTTGAGCCAACTGACTCACGCCAGAACTGAAAAATGCCTGCCTTTTGGTCCCACGCTCTGGCATAGCTGGAGCACAGGAGCCAAAACGGGCATCTGCGATTGGGATCAGAAGCTGGGGTGGCTTCTGTCAATTTGGGATGTCCCGGTTAAATCGGGACACTTGAGAGGTATGAGTTCAGGGTGTAAACAGAGCTGGAATTTCAAGCAGCTCTGCCTGTTTGTGACGCCAGAATTCTAGAATGTTCTACGGTCAGACGTTGCAGCATCTTTTAGAGATGCCTCATGGAAATCACTGAGCTCTTAGTATTTGGGTTCATTTGCCAACAGTGCAATGTTGGATATCAAGCTGCTCCAAACGCCAGCCGTGATAATTGATAATGGATCTGGGTCATGCAAAGGTGGGATCTCAGGTGAGTCTGAACCACGATCGCTTATTACATCTGTTGTTGGACACCTTAAACAGAACACGGAGGATTACTACATTGGGGAGAAGGCTTTCTCTAAGAATGGTGCCGGGTTGCTGAATTATCCTGTTGAGCGTGGCGTGATTACTTCTTGGGATGACATGGAGAAACTCTGGAAACACATCTATAAACAGGAGCTTAAAGTGAAAGCCAACGAGAGGCCTGTGCTGCTCTCTGAACCACCACTGAATCCACTGCTGAATCGGGAGAGAACAACAGAGATGATGTTTGAACACTTTCAGGTTCCAGCTTTGTACCTCTCGGTCCAAGCCACACTGGCCCTTTACGCGTCCGCACGCACCACTGGGTTGGTGATGGACAGCGGAGATGGAGTAACTCATACTGTCCCCATCTATGAAGGATACTGCCTGCCCCACGGAGTGTCCAGACTTGATGTGGCGGGGAGGGACATTACCAATTACCTCGCCAGCCTCCTTTTGGAAAACAGCCAGCCTTCCTTAAGCAGGACCAAGAAAATCATGGTGCAGAGCATCAAAGAGAAGTCCTGCTATGTGGCCTTGGATCCCAAGCAGGAAGCAGAAAGAAAAGCTGAGGTCTTCAAGCTGCCAGATGGAAGCACCATCACACTCAATCTCCACCTCTGCCAAGCACCAGAAATCCTTTTCGTGCCAAAGATCATCGGTGTTGAGGCGCTGGGCATCCAAGCCATGATCACCAAGAGCATTAGAAAGTGTGACAGGGATATTTGCAGCCTCCTCTATGGGAACCTGGTCCTCTCAGGCGGATCATCACTTTTCCAGGGTCTAGATGAGAGGATTTTTAAAGAGATAGAACACCAAGTCCCACAGGGGGTTCCGCTGCGAATCATAGCACCTCCAGATACAATGTGCGCTGCCTGGCTGGGAGGATCCATTCTAACTCACCTGGACTCTTTTGTACCCATGTGGATTACCAGTGAGGACTACCAAGAATTTGGTGCGGGTGCAATCCACCGAAAGTGCTTTTAAGAAGGGTGTATACTTATTATGATGATTATAAAGCTGATCTGCAAGATTGTAACTTTAATAAAAGTACAAAGAGTGTTCAATTCTCCAGTCTCTTTCTCTTTGTGTTTATGAGCGTGACCTTCATGTTATGATAATTATGTTTGTACTGTATTTTGTTCTGAAGGGGCTTTTGAGACAGTGAAAGGATAGCTTTCACTCATTACTCTGAAAAAAGCAGGGGGCGTGAGGTTTTTTTCTTTTTAATTCTCCTGGTTTTCAATTCTTCTCGAAGAAAATCAAAAGGGGGAGAGGAACGAATCCTATTTTTTCACAAATATCCCTTTTTTTTCGCCTTCATACAACCTTCACCTTCTTCTGGGCTCTGCCTTAACTCTTGCAATATTTTGTGTGCTTTTCCAGAATTGGCAGCTTTGTGACACCACAGGCACTCTCTTATAACATCACCAGGGCCCTGCATTGTGACATCACTAGCTTTGGGATACTGCCGTCATGGCAACCCTGGGCTGTAACCCTTCCCTAAGGGTCTTGGCGAGGGATACGGGTGGCACTGTGGTGTAAACCACTGAGCCGTGCCAACCTAGCAGTTCAAAAACACGCTAAAAAAGTAGATAACGCGACTGGATTTAACTGTCAGGGGTCCTTTAGCTTTTTAAGGGTCTTGGTAAACTCTTCTGCATAGGTTAATCAAAGAGAGGGATCACTACTGAGAATTTCCTGCACCACCTTCCAATTATGTTTTTAATGCCTCATTTTTAACTTTTTAATTGATAATTTTAATACTTATTGTAAAGCACTTAAAGCTTTTGCTTAAGTGCTATATAAATGTTGTTAAATAAAACTAAAATAAAAAAACTACAGTTCCCAGCATCCTTTGTGATAAGGCGTAAAAGTTTTAATAACCTTTTCAGTTTTGGAAGGGCCACACATTTCCCACTCAGAGTTAATCCTGCTTTAACTGCCATTTCCTCTGAGAGCCCCTCAGATATGTTTTTGCCTGAGGATTACATTTCCCAGGTTTCCTGAGTGGAGGGCAAAGCAAACTGGGAAATGTAGTCCTGAGACCCGAAGGACTCCCTACCAGGGAATTTGTTTCATGCGGCCACCTAAACTACAATTCCCAGAATTCTTTGGGGGAAGCAATGACAGTTAAAACTGCGGCGGCGGCGGCGGCGGCGGCTGCTCCCCGCCCCTTTTCAAAAGTTCTCGCTCGGCCCTTTGCCCTTCTACCCGTTTCCATAGAGATATGCAAATATCACTCCGCTCGGGCGGGGGAGGAGGCTTTCTCCCCCTGGCGCATAAATACCCAACTTCCCGCTCATTGTCGTCGTTGTCATGGGAAACTACGAGAAGGAGGTGGGGGAGGAGAAAGGTTAAAAAAAAACAAAAAAAAAAAACCCGTTGGCGAGACACTCTGCCCCTCACTTCCGCTTCTCTATGATTGGAAAGGGAAGGCGAAAAAGGTCGCAGCGAAAGCAGGCGGGGCGCGGCTCATAGAGCCGGACACGTCGGCCAGCCCCGCCTCTTCCGGTCCCAGCCGACGCCATTTTGTGTATGTGAGAGTGAGAGAGACGAGAAGGGAAGCGCCGCTGCTGCCGCCGCCACCGCCACCGCCTGGGAACCTCACCGCAGGCCCTTCGCTGCCGTCACCCGCCGCCTTTCCCTCTTCGACCCTTCCCCTCCCCAGGCCCCCGCCCCGGCCCCTTCCTCGCCGCCGGGCGTCCAGCCATGCCCTCCTCGCCGCTCCGGGTGGCTGTGGTTTGCTCCAGCAACCAAAACCGCAGCATGGAGGCCCACAATATCCTCAGGTAAAGCAACTCTGGGCCTGGGTAGGCCTCGCTCAGCTACCTCACCCCTCTCCAATTCCGTTCTCTGGTTTCCCGTTTGAAGTGAGGGGGGGTGTTTGACGCCACATTGGATCAAGGTGGGGCCTCCTCATCCTCGTCGTCGTCACAGTGACGTCACTTAACCCTTGCAGTCCCCCCCAATTCTCTTGGTAGCGGGAGATAACGTCAAGGAAAGCTCTTCCACATCGGGTGGAATAATTTACGGCGAGGGGCTCCGTGACGTAGATCGAACTCCCAATTTTGTCAAGAAGATGGGCGGTGGATTATTATTATTGTTGTAGTTATTACATTTCTTAACTGCCCTTCCCTGTAAGGTCACGGGACGAGTTCCAATAGTGTGAAGATGCCACTTTCAGATTCGATTAAAACGATTATTGCTTACTGTTAATTGGCTTTAAAAGAGACTTAGGCAAGTTCATGGAGGAGAGCGGTGTCAATGGCTGCTGATCATGGCGGCTGTGGTCTGCCTCCATTGCTGGAGGCAGTAATGCTTCTGAATGCCAGTAGCAGGAGGGGAGAGTGCTCTTGTGCTCTGGCCCTGCTTGAGGGTTTCCCTTTGGGGCATCTGCTTGGACACTGAGAACAGGGCGCTGGACTAATGGACCATTGGCCTGATCCAGCAGGCTTCCCTTATGTTGTTATTTAGGTTTCTTACCTGCCATCCACCATAAAGTCCTGTGCGTGGGTTGCAGCAGTGTAAACATGCAATACAGAAAATGTTTACAACACTTAACAACAATAAGAATAGAGCGTGGTCTTTTAAAACATATCTCTTAAAGGCCTGGATGAAGAGTACGTTTATCCCACTTTATATCCCTGAGAGGCTCTCAAGACTGTCTTATGAAAATATTTTCACACAACAACAAAGCATTTTAAAATCTGGTATTAAGAATGGAAGTAACACAAGTTTCCTGTGGTGGTGGGATGATTCCTTTCTTCATCCTGGTTCTTCCCTGGTGCTGCCCTTGAACCTCTGCCTATTGGAGAAGAGCCATATCTGATGTTCTCTGACACAAGGGGGTAGGGGCTGATCCGATCACAGTGGGGCCAAAGTCTTGACTTCTGTTTATAAAAAAATATGTACTCCAGGATGTGTTGTGCAATACATTCTACAAAAACCAAAATTAAAACAGAACCAAAATACAGCAAACTGTCAAGTAGAACAAAACAGCTTTATGCTTATTTTGTGGGGTGGGGTTTATGTATCATGACAATCCTTGGGAGATTTTGAAAACAAGGCTGTTGCAGTATAAGACTATGCAAATATTGAGGGGTGGGATTTCATAAGTGTCATTGACATGATTTAATATATTTTTTATTACAGGGTTTTTATACTGCCCTTCAATAAAACTCATTTTATTTTATTTGAGGCTGTGGCAGCGTCACAGTTCTTGATAAGCTTTATGTAAAATGAGAGTGAGGGAAAGAGAAGAGATAGCGTTGATACAATCTTTAAAGGATGTGGCAGTTTCCTTTTCTGTCTCATTTTTACTTCCTCCTCGGATGCCAGCATGTGAATCTTGAAGTAAAGGAACTGCGACCTTATTGTGATTATAGATTCCCCTCCCCACTCTGGTTGAAGGGCTGCAGAAGGAAAAGATGCTGCTCTTGAACCCTTATTTGAGGGCTCTCTACTTGCTGTTATTCTCTTTTTTCCACTCTTCAAATTCACTTAAGGTTCCTAGGTAGGACCGATGTGTTTTCATCATGTCTTTTCCCACCTTACAGTCTTGGCATAAATACAATATTTATATTTTGTTTACAAATGTTCAACAATGCTCTAATAGTGAATTGTGGGGGTGATGTGTACCTGGAGATATGTAGCTAAAAGAGGACAACTGAGAAATGGAAGTATCTTTATGCTTAGGAGCTACCCTGACATTTGCAGGTGTGTAAACACCCTAGAGAATCCATAGGAAAAGCAAGGGTGGAGTAGAATGGAATGGAATATCCAGGAGGAGGGCAGCTTGACTGGTTGGTTGTCAGCCATCCTAAATAGGCGCACTCTTGCCTAAGGGGTGAAGAGACACCACTTCATTTTGTCCTACGTCCCACTTGTTATCTCCACGATCCTTACAACAACCCTACGAGTTTGGTGAATGTCATCACATTTTGAATTGTGTGAGCTGGGGAGGGGTGAGAGTGTTTTGCCCAGGGGTAGGCAACCTAAGGCCCATGGGCCAGATGCGGCCCAATCGCCTTCACAATCCGGCCCACGGGGAATCAGCATGTTTTTACATGAGTAGAATGTGTCCTTTTATTTAAAATGCATCTCTGGGTTATTTGTGGGGCAACAGGAATTCGTTCATTCCCCCCCCCCCAAAAAATAATTATAGTCAGGCCCACCACATGGTCTGAGGGGCAGTGGACCAGCCCACGGCTGAAAAAGGTTGCTGACCCCTGGTCTTGCCTAAGGATCTCAGTGAGTGACTGATAAGAGAGTAGGCTCAAACCAAGGATTTTTCTTAGCACACTTTCTTAGCCATAACTCTGAACACTTCTGTCCTCCAAATACACAATCCTTACAAAATCCAAGTGTGGTCGCACCACACTCCAGCATTTCTAAACAGACACAAACACAAGCACCTGAGGGATATCCAGCAGCAAGCAACCTACCTGTGGGCTCGAGGCAAGATGTGTGTTTTCATGGGATAATTGCTTTGTGTTTGAGGAACACTTCTGGAAATGCTTAATGATATGGAGACTTGCTAGTCTGACTCATTAAGTACTACTCCCCAGACAATGTGGAAGTACCAGGGGTGGGGAGCAACTGTCAACAAGGAACTGGCTGTAAGGCATTGACTCATGGGGCCATGTAATGCATATTTCTTAGCACTGTTAGCTTTGCTCTTAAGGATTAAGTGTTTAGAAGTTTTCACAGTTTACATATTAAAATATTGGGACATATTCAGGTTTCATACAGTGGATGTGGGGAATGCAAGGGGGCGCTTTACAAACCCCACACATATCCTGTACCTATTCCAGATTCTAGTTGGCATCAAAGGACATGTGTCCCAGAGCCCAGGGTCTTAAATTTGATTGATTTACTCTCAAACAACTTGGTATCTTCAGCCATGCTTAACTACAACAGATGCAAATTAGAATTTTTGCTACTCCATGGGTAAGCATATATCAGGCTTCCTCAACCTTGGCCCTCCAGATGTTTTGAGACTACAATTCCCATCATCTCTGACCACTGGTCCTGCTTGCTAGGGATCATTGGAGAGGGAGGGTGTCTACCCTTTTGCTGCTTGGGCATTTGTTCAATAGTTTGCGTCTGGGTAGCTAATGAATATTATGTTTGTAGTTAGTTAAGTAGGTGCCAGTGAACATCTAAGACACTAATTGAAGAAAGAGTGATGTTTTATGTTTGATTAAATGACCCCAGAACTGATGGTCATGTGGTTTTGAGTGGCTCCAAATTTTAGGGTTGATAATATTTAATCCAATAAATGTGTGTATATTCTTTTTGAGTATTCTGAAGTGCTTAAATCCCTCCAATCCTAAACTCCAGGTGAGTGCTGACAACTGTTGATGTTTAGGATAAGATCCTGATCTTTTGGAGAGATGTGTGGCTGAGCCTCCTGTCTCCTCTTATCACATACCATTTCCTGTAAGGACTCTTTAATCCTGATGGGTGTCCTCATCAATTTACAAACCGTCTTGTCTTTTTGCTGCATCTAACCAGATTTGTTGATTATTGGCCTCCTCTGCATAGTGACTGTGTATTTGGCAGCTAGGATCCAAAAATGCTTTGGGTGGAAGAGCTTCCCCATATTAGTGCCACCTCCTTCCAAAAGCCCCCTAAGATAGGTCTCCCCCTGGCGTGGAAACTCTTATGTAGGGCAGCTAGTAAAAGGAAATATGGCTTCTCTTTGAAGCATGTGAAAATGCACAGAGGTAGAGTTTGGATTTGGTGAGACAGAATGTGAAAGTTTTTGTCCAGTGCTAGACCTACAAGTTCATTCTGTACAATGGCTGATGCTACCACCAAGGGGTTGGCATTTTCTGTTGCCACCTGAAGAAGACTCCTCCCCCTCTGTGGGGGTGCTACAGCCATCCCAAACTAGGATACAAGTCTCTTAGCTAATATTTATGCTCAGCTGACCTCTGCTCCCTGTATTAGATGAGGCCAGACAGCTCTGTTCTGTAGAGACAGTTGAAGTTGGCTGCCCCCAGGCTTCCTGCTAGCTGGAGGATATCCCAGGAGACAAGTGCCAGTATTACCACTGACTATCAGGAGGCTCATATTTCACATTATTCATAAAGTGAACTGTCCTGTTGGAAAAATAAGTTTTGAGTTCTTAGCATTGCTAGCAGATAGCATCATCCTCTATATGCTTACTCAGAAGTCTCACTTTGTTCAAGGGAGCTTTGTAATAGTGTCTTATCTGCTCACGCAGAAAGTGTTAGTCATTTCCGGCCTGAAAGGAAAAACAAAAGCCAGCTTCTGTATAACTTCTCTTGGGGCCTTGTTTAGGCAACTGGACAGCCTACTGCTCATCACCATGGTTTAATGGGCCTGCTTAGGATTACTGTTATAAAGTCCCCTTCAGACCATTTACCTGCCTTCATCTCCTCACGTTTCACCAAAGAACAGCTGCACAGTTCAAGCCAGTTATGAGTGTTAGGATGAGGGCGGGGTTTTCTCCTTGAAGAGGAAGCTGCCTCTTTCGGTGAGAGAATGATTGCTTGTTTACCAGCACTAGCTGACCTTTTCCAGCCATTTGCTCACAGTACAGTATAAGTAGGAAGTACCAGTATCCACCCCCCTCCCCATGGCTTTTAGGTGATAAGAACTTACAAAGCGCCAAAGGTCTATTTAGCAAGGATCCTTCTGCCCACAGTGACCAACCAGATGGCTCTGGGCATGTCTGTTCTCCAACAACTGGTGTTCAGAGATGCACTGTCTCTGAACCTGGAGTTTAACCAATCTTAGTTAACCATTAATAACCTAATCTTCCACGGATTTTTAAAATTCCCTGTGGGCCTGCATTCAATCAGGCTGTTTACTCAGCGGGTACAGACTCAGACACTCACCATTTCCAGGTTTGCTCTAACCATAGCTTCGTGTGATCTCTGAGTTGGGGCAATGCCTTTTGTTACACTTGAATCCTGCACTTTCTCCAAAAACTCAGTGAGACAATGTCCATTATTATATTTGATCTCTTTTTCCCTTTATAACCTATGTGAGTAAGGTTAGGTTGAATATGTGACTGAGCCATAGTCACCCACACCCAGTCAGATTTATGACTGAGTTGTCTTGGTCCTAGTCCAACACTATAATGATTCTTAACTATAGTTAGCTATAGTTAGTACTGTTCCTCAAACCGTGCACTATATGATTGGCACAACGCAGCAATAGTTTGACAAGATCAGTGCGCCAGAAGAGGGGTGGTCTACATTGAACCCAAACTTGGTTTTTCCAGTTGTTGATTTGTATGAGAGATGGGCTGTACATTTCATTGTGGTGTCTAGTACTAAATGCAGCCTTGTAATTAAACCTTTAGAAGCTACTGGCCTACACATCCCATCTGCGAAGCCTGCATTTCTCTGCTAGCCATGGAGAAAGGGATGACTCCTCCTCTGCAGACAACATGGCAACTCAGGGTTCAAAGCTTTGTCTTCTGCTAAGTAGGCTGGCAGAAGAAAGATAGATTGCTCCATTACTCCTCTGCCAGCCCACTTGGATTTTGTGCTGGGTACAGGGCAAGGGGCTCTTTTCTGTCTCTAACATGGAAATCAAGCAGGCTGCAGAAGGAGTGATGGAGCATTCTATTTCTTCTCTGCCTGCCAGTGTGTCCTCTCGCCTGCATGGAATTCCTTGCTTCCTGTAGAGACCAGGCTTGCTACTTACAAGATTGTCCCAGTGAACAAGCCAGCTAAACCTGACTGCTGTGAGTCAAGCCTATTTTGTTCCACATCTTTCATGAAACTTAAATAGCCTTGAATCCCATTCCCTAGCTTTCAAGTGCCAGTGGATTGGGCTGCTTATATACTTCAGAGAGAGATTTGGGTTGATACTGGCCCCATCAGAATTCATAGCAATGAGTAGTTGTCACTTCACCCACCACCTACCTATCTGATTTGAGAACATGCGCTTTTCTTGCAGTCCAGATAAACATTAGAAGCACCTTCCATGTACAGGGTGTTCTGTGCTTTCTTAAAACGGCTTCAAAGCAAAATGTAAGGGTTTTGTATAAGATGAATCATGTCCCAAAATTTCAAGCTGGTGCCCTTTTAAGCAGATGATGTAAGATTACTTAACATCAGAAGATTTCTATAAATGTCTTAAACTCCATTCTGGGTGGACGTGAGTAGGTTGTGTTTATTGCCACACTAGTTTCTCTACACTGGTATTGCAGGGATTTGTCACATCCCTACTTTTATGCAGCAAGCTCTCACTTAAAATCCTGGTTATTGCTGTTGTGCCTTCCAGCCTAATTTCTTTGCTTTAGTTTCTGTGGCTCCTTAATTTGGCAGATACTTGAAGAAAGTGGGCTTGAATTATTGACTGTTTCTCATTCTTTTTTAAAAATCCTGCTCTGCCAAGGAAGATGGCATACATGGATATTCTCTCACTATTCCTCAGAACAACCCAGGCAGGTGGGTTAAGCTGGGATATTCTAACTGGCCATGGTTACCCAGCGAGTTTCATGACTGACGATGGAATTGAACCCAGATCCCTCTGTTCATTTCCAACATGGACCACTAGGTGATCGCCTACAGTAGCTCAGAACATAATCAAGTTAGCTTTTAAATTGCCACAGCATTATTTTGAATGTTACTGCTGCAGACTAACTGGTGGCTCTTTTTTCCTTTTCTGATGTGTCTTCCAAATCCCAGCTTCTTCATTGGGCGAGAATCATTGGAGACCTGTGCAAATTCAAGAATATTTTTGTTCAGAAATCTATCTTGTCTCACATATACATGCACATAAACACCCCCCACAAACATCTATTTACAGATGTATTGTTTAATAGACACTGCCTTGGTGAGCAAAAGAGTAGGACTGTGCAGTCAGGAAAACCATTGGTGTAGGGAGTACATACATATCCAATGCCCCATTGTTCCCAGTGTCTAGAGGGCAGTGGGTGTCCCTTTTCCCCCATCAAAATTTTCCCTGCTTTCTGATCCCTTCATTCCTCACTTGGGATTTGTGTAGAGGCAGAGGTAGGGGGGTGTGGGTGTGGGTGTGTGGGTGAGAGAGAGAGAGAGCGCAGGGAATGAAGTGTGTGAGACAAAGGTGTGGGAAGAGTTATTGTGTAAATGGAGAATGCTTGTTTTCCACTCCAGCCTTGGTTGTTCTTGGACCCTGCTTCCCTCCATGCTGTTTGGTTGCAATTCTTCCCCCTTCAGTGGAATCCTGGTTTTCCTTTCGGACATGGAATTGGGGTACTCTGCGCACTTGGCAGCTGCTTTTGGGGGGAGGGCTTTGGAAGTTCTGCAGGCCCCACCCCTGTGGTGAGTCTCAGGACAATATCTTTCACATAGGGTCTGAACAATTCTTTCTTCACCCACTTGCTATGACAGGCAGCTTGGAAGAGTAAGATAACAATGAGTTATACACATAACACTCTGTTGCATCTGATTTGCCTCTGAAAGCTTTGCATAGCTGTTTTTGGCTTTGACTGTGTCTATATTTCATCGGGTGAACATGTTGCTTCACTAGCCTGTTGCACACACAACCCTCTACTGTTCACACTCTAAACATTCTCTGACACAGAAGGCCATCCTGTGATGGGACTTTCATATTTTAACGTGACATTTATTCTCTGTGTGTCATTTATTTATTGATTTGTAGCCTGGATCTTCATCCAAAGATTCCTTCCCCATTTTTATCCTTTCAACCCTGTGAGATACATTGATATTGACTAGCTCAGGACCACCTAGTGAGTTTGTGGCTGAGTGGGGATGTGAGCTAGTGCCCAGCCCTGGACTCACACTACATCTGTAATCACACCTGCATAAACAGTGAACATTTATCAGTATATCTAGATGTTTAAATTGTGGATCTTCTGGCTCAGTTTCTACATTGTGCTAAATTGTTATTTATGCCTACTTTATTTTTAAACCCAAGCCATGGTTTGAGTTTCCAAATGGGCTACAGGCAAACCAAGGCTTAGATTTCATTGTCTGCTTTTCATTTCCACCTTCAGCACTTCATTTGTTCGCACTCACCTCCATAATATAAGTAAGGTAAAGGTGAAGGACCCCTGGATGGTTAAGTCCAGTCAAAGAGACTATGGGGTGTGGCGCTCATCTTGCTTCAGGCCAAGGGAGCTGGCATTTGTCCACAGACAGCTTTCCGGGTCATGTGACCAGCATGACTAAACTGCTTCTGGCGCAACGGAACACTGTGACGGAAGCCAGAGCGCACAGAAACACCATTTATCTTCCCACCGCGGTGGTACCTATTTTTTCACTTGCAATGGTATGCTTTCAAACTGCTAGGTTGACAGAAGCTGGGACAGAGCAATGGGAGCTCACCTCATCACATGGATTCGAACCGCCGACCTTCCAGGCAGCAAGTTCAAGAGGCTCATTGGTTTAGACCACTGCACCACCTGCTCCCTCCCATAATATAGTGTCCCAGGGAGATAGAGGAGATGGCTGAAAATAGTTGCCAACTCAGACATTATGCAAAGCCATGTTTTGTAAATCCACTGCAAATCTTGGTCGTCTGTTCTGACTTGCTGGCCTGTGACAAAACTTGGATGAGCTGCACCATGATTAAGCTTCTTTAACCATGGTTTGGAATGGTGTCTGAATTGAACCATTGTGTCCGTTATGCCAGATCAAACAAAAATGTTTTGGGGGACAAACAGCCAATAGTTTACCAGGTGAATCTGTGACACCCACACATATATAGATTGCTTGACTGACTACTTTGTGCATGTTTGAAATGTGAATTATAGTACTTCCTTTATAAGTTGTTTGTTATGCACCTGAAGTAACTAGTTCTGATGTTACTTCAGTGCTGACTTCCACCATCGGCATGCTTCTATGCCTACAGTTGCTTGCAGATGTGAAGATTTCCTTCTGCACATATGGACAACAGTCCAGGCATGAATTGCAGTCTTTGCTTCCTAGGAAGAAGAAATTTTTTAAAAGGCACCAAGTCATCTTGGTTGTTTTCAGCTTCAATTAAATTGTTAATTTCTCCTGAAACGGGGCCCTCAGCTTCAGATGCAGCAAGAGAGCAGCCAAGACACTTGTGAGCCAAGGGGCCATGTATCTAAAAAGCACATTGCTTCAAATGTAAAATTGGCGAGGGGTTGGGGAGGTGTAGTTTATAGCACAAAAAGGGCCTGCGGGAAGGAAAGGAGGTTGGCTGTTTTTCTCACAGCTAGGCTCATCTTTAGTGGAACTCTTCTATTAGGGGACAAAGCAGTGGGTGATGCAAAGGTGTTCTCCACCCACCTACTCAGACAGGCCTGTCTTCAAAGACACTGGTCTGCTTCTGATGTGTGGGAAGCCCTAAGGCAGGGGTGGGGTTGAGGGAAACCAATTGCAGCCCAAAGGCCACATTCCCTTTTGAGCACATTCCAAGGGCCACATCATAGTGGTAGATGGGGCCAGAGGCAAAAGTGGGCAAAACAACAAATGTAAACTTTACCACTCTGCAGTTGGCTAGTTTCTGTACACACTCACACATCCCTTTTTGCCTTCCATCCTGAACACTGTGAGGCATTACCAGAGTTTAAGGACACATCCCACACAGGCAAAAACACTCAATGAAGGTTTGAAGCAAGGCCAATGAGGGATGTTGCCTGGGGAGAAAGTCCCTAGGGCTAGACAGAGAGGCCCGACCTGAAGTTCCCCATCCTAAAGGAAGGTAAGCAGGATTCCTGCATTGCAGGGGGTTGGGCTAGATGACTCTTGGGGTCCCTTCCAGCACTGCAATTCCATGATTCTGGGGAATACCAGATATGGAAAATGGCGCCTATCAGTCTGAGATTTCTAGTCAGCTCAGTAACTTAAGTGCTATTCTGCAGATGTCTTTGCTGAGAACTTCCATTGGTCTCCCAAGCATCAATTCTACCTTGTTAATTTCTCAGTGAATTTTGCTGTTGTGTGCAGATTGTTACTCATGCATATCCTTTGCTATTCTTCTGAAACCACCTAACCTTTGGGGTGCGGCTCCAGATTTGCAGTGTGCAATCTGCTGCTCCTGGATAACACAGGCCTTATTGTTAGTGGCGGCTGCTTAAAATCTAACACCAAAGGCGAAACATCATCAGATAAACTTTCTGCAATGTGTGTTTTCAGTTGTCGCAGCAGATGTCCATCTGTAAACCATTCTCGGTGAAGCCTGACTCATCTCTCACGTCCTATAATTAGTCCCATAATTTACATTTGGAATGAGACGCAGTGTTCTCTCTGGATGGCATTCTCAGTTTGTAGAACAGGACAGCATTATGTACTGTGGTGTGGTTAGGAGTGTGAATGAGTGTGTGTTGTGTGGAGGGGAGAGCAAATGAGCCTTTCATGAGGAATGATTGTTCTCAGTTCTAGGTCGGTTGAATCAGTTTTGGGTGTTGTGCTATAATAAACTCAGTTGGGATCTGGTGGATGAAGAGCACTGCTGGGCTTTGAATGTGATCATCTGCTGTTGGGAGACGAGCAATGACTGGTGCTTTGAGAGTCTTGAGTAAGAGTTCAACCCCTGTAGCTCTGTTTCACGGGTCTCCATTCCTAACCCCGGGATTAACCACTGTAGTACTATCTGAATGCTGCTGGACTCCAGCTCCCAACATCCCTGACGTTTGGCCTTTCTGGACTGTGGCTGTTGTGAGTCCAGTAACATCTGGAAGGCACTACATTAGCTACCTCTGTGCTAGGCTAAAGGATGGAGTGAGGGGAAGAGAAACAACATCACTAAAATCTAGGGTTTTTATTGATTGTCTTCCACCGCAGGGTGCATACTGTGGTACAGAAGACTCCCATAAGTCTCTCTCCCACTACAAGGGGTTCAGTCACTGGGGTGGACCTGGGTGACTTAAGGAGCTTTCGAGATGTGTTTACAGTAGTTAGCTGGTTCACGAAAACTGATGCAGTGCAACAGGGTTTCAGCTCCAGAATACGTGAAGAAAGCAGTGATCTCTGGGCACAGTGCCTTCTTTAGTAAAGAAGGAAATTGCATTGTCCTGGCTGTTTGTTGTTTTTTTGCTAAAGCAAAGAGGTATGAGATCAATCCCAATAGCATATGGTCAGCAGGCAGAGTCATATAGGTGCTCATATTTTGTATCAGTTGAATGCTGTGGTGCTATATTCCTGTTTGAAATGCCATATTCAGGATAAATTAATACAGTATAGCAAAGGAAGGCATTCCTGTCAAATGATCCAGTTATGTTTTAACTGCTATATAATGTATTCTCGAAGACAGTACTGTCAACTGCACTGGGAAATCTGCAATCCAGTCTCTTAAATGGCATTGGCACTTTTACTTGGCTCTGCCTATTACTGTTCTGCAGGAAAGGCAAACAGCTAATTGAGAGTTCACTTCACACCTTTTCCCTGAGGGCAGCCTCTGGCAAGGCAGAGGTAAATAGGGGATAAATGTTCTTTTCAAAGATGAGTGCCAAGCAGTTTGTTGACTTGGGGTGCTTCCAGTTGGGTGGATGCGATGTGGGATCTGTGCTGCTCACATGTGCAGATTTTTCGGTGTCCATGTGACATTGTCAGCATCAAAACGCCAGCCTGTGTTTTCTTCCATTTAACCCAGATTAGCCCTTTTGTGAAAAATCTGATGTTTTAAAAACAACCAATTGCCAGCGACCAATTTGTGTTACCGGAATAGCCTGTTAGGCTCCCATCTGGAATCACGTTTGGTCTCTGCTTCACTGGGTCTTGTTCAGTGCAAAAGATTTAAAAAGCAGCAGAGCTCTTTCACAACAGAAGTCTCTTGCTTTGCTTAGCAAAGTACTGCATGCCCACTGAGTTATAAAGACCAAGGCTGTGTACAATCACTGTATTTAAAGCACTCCCACTACAGCCTGGGAACTGTAGTTTATTCCTCCCAGAGCTACAGTTCCCAGCATCCTTAACAAGCTACAGTTCCCAGAATTGGGAGGGGCATGCTTTAAATGCATGGTGGGAATGCATTCCAAGACACATGCTGGGGAATGTGCTGTAAATCAGGAACTCTTGAGCTGCCGCTTGCTTGCCCAAGCCAGTTTTCTAGTTTCTGGTAGCTGTCAGCTAGTATATTTTGAAATAGGCAAAACTCAGGCAAAACTAAAGCAAGTCTCAGCAATTAAAAATTCAATGCACAATTCTGTATGTAAATTGAAACATGGCTCTGCCACCAGGCTTGTGAACCAATAAAATGGGAGGGGGGAAGGGAGTAGAGGGCGAAAGGAGTTGGATGTGGGATCTACTTGGCAGTGCCAGCAAAAAATGAGAGATAGGCTTTTACATTCTGTTGTGGGGTCAGGCTTATGTTTCCCTGTTGCTTCTCTTGTTGAGGGGGCAATTATGTATTATCCCGATGGTCTTTAGGCCCCTGCCGTCAGCCAGAGTACTAAGTGGCCTTCCTCTTGTGCCTGCAGATACAAATATTGGTCTGGTTTGCTTGTCATGCTAAGCCAAACCATAGCTTGGCAGAGCCTCTGGGAGAGGATTTCCTTCTTTCTGGTCATTCTGCTGCTGCATCCAAACCAGGACATGGTTCTGCACGCTCTCCCAGGACTAACTGTGAGCTATAACCAAAGTTGGTCCTAGGAGTTACGGCTTGTAGTTTGTCCTGGAGAGCAAAACCATAAGCCCAGGTTTGGACAACTCATTAAGCCTGGCTTGGACAACTCATTGGTGGGGAGCAGAGTAGCCACAGTCTCTCTGAGAGCCTGCAATTGTGCTAAGCCATCCCCAACCTTTGGCCCTCCAGATGTTTTGGACTACAATTCCATCATCCCTGACTACTGATCCTGTTAGCTAGGGATCGTGGGAGTTGTAGGCCAAAACATCTGGAGGGCCATAGGTTGGGGGTGCCTGTGCTAAGCCATGGGTTTGGCCTAATGTCAACAATCGAACCGGGCGGTTGTTAGTGACACTGCTGCATTAAATTTAGAAGATAGGCCCTAGTTTTTAAAGCTTGAGATTAATTGCCATGTATAATTATTTATTTGGTCCAGGCCTAGGCAGATGTCATGTGGGAGAGTGCATACATTAATCAACTTTGCCTTCTTGCTTCCCTGCATCTTCCTCCACTCTCACACGGTCAGCAACAAAAGCCAGCAGAGGGAAAATGAAATTACAAGTATTAAAAGCAGCCAAATTCATTCATTTTCCATTTTTGGTACTGCAGCAGCTGTGTGACTCGGCAAAGTGTTTTGCTGCTATCCAGACCCCTTTCTGGTAGGAGTGGTGGGAAATCCCTCTCACTGGATTGCCTCAAAAGCTGGTGCTTTAAAATTTGAACACTCTGTCTGGCCCTGCTTTAGGTTACTTCAGCTCAATTTCACTGATTGTCATGTACAGTTTCCAAAATGAGTGACTTGAAGCTTGCAGTGAACTTGGGAAATATTGGCGGCCAAGTCAGAAAGGTGCCAAAACACGGGAGTCTAGGAAATTATTTTCTCACCCCAATTCCCCCCCCCCAAAAAAAACCCCTTTCCTGGACCTGCAAGGAGAGACTCTTATTTCCAGCAACATAAAAGGTCTCTGATAGTCACAAATAAGGACTGGTAACTATGTGGAAGAGCACTTGAGTTGCACATGAAAGGTCCCAGTTTCTGGCATTCCTAGATGTGGCTAGGAAACAGCCCTCTCTCAGATTCTGGAAAAACTGTTTTTAGCCAGGGTAGAAAATACTGGGTTAGATGGACCACTGAGATTACTCTGTCTAAGGAAGTTTCCTGTGGATGCAGTAGTCTCTTAGGCCTATCTGTCTGATTCTGCTAAAACACAGAGTATAATATTTAGTTTTTTGGGAATCACTGCTTTTTTTTTGTAATAGCAAAGTATCTAGTGACCCTTATTCTGTGACTATGCTGGTAATGTATGGGCAGCATCTGGTTGAATTACCACAAAGCTAGTGAGGTTGCCCAGTAACAGTTAAGTAAAAGGTAAAGGTACCCCTGCCCGTACGGGCCAGTCGTGTCCGACTCTGGGGTTGCGTGCCCATCTCGCTTAAGAGGCTGGGGGCCAGCGCTGTCTGAAGACACTTCCGGGTCACGTGGCCAGCGTGACAAGCTGCATCTGGCGAGCCAGCGCAGCACACGGAAACGCCGTTTACCTTCCCGCTAGTAAGCGATCCCTATTTATCTACTTGCACCCGGGGGTGCTTTCGAACTGCTAGGTTGGCAGGCGCTGGGACCGAGCAACGAGAGTGCACCCCGCCGCGGGGATTCGAACCGCCGACCTGACGATCTGCAAGGCCTAGGCGCTGAGGTTTTACCCACAGCGCCACCCGCGTCCAACAGTTAAGTAGACAGAGCTTTTTGCCCTTTCCTATAACAAGGAGAATAAATTACATTTTAGAATTTAGAATGATAGCGCATGTGTGCTTGGAACATGTTGCGGAATTTGGCTTGTGTTGATGTGGAATACCGTCTCTTAGTAAAGGGTATAAGTAGCCTTGTTGATTGATAAGTGAATGGCGCTTGCCAGTGAGTTGTAGTGAGCATTCAAGATGAAAGTCAGCTTGAGCAAAAGAGCAAACAAATCCTGGAGTAAAGTGGGATTGAACACACTGAGAGTCCTTTTGTGCCAAGCACACCACTTGGGCATCAAAAGTGCAAGGCAGCGACTCCTTTGTAGTGGGCTTCTCTCAAGGTAAGTGCATCACAAAGTATCTCAAAATGATCTGCAGGTTTTAGTTGTTTGTTTATATATGTACACCATTCCTGTGACACTTAATATTTTTAAATTTTGCTTAAGTGGTGTACAAAAAACTGAAGCGACAGCAGACAACTTGAAACAAAAATATTACAAAAATACACCGTTACATATGAAACTTTGTACATTAATACAAAGTTACTAATATATAAAAATCTATATCGTTTCATTTTCCTTCTGACACAACTTCCCTCTCAGCCCGGATCCGGGCTCTCACCCAGGGTCCAAACAAAACTGAGCTCACCCACAAAAGTATCATGATAAGAAGAGTTCCTATAAACAGCAGACATCGCTCTAGTCTCTTACTACAGACTTGCTTTTTATGGGCAGGCCCAAGGTAGATGGTAGCTTATGTGCCTAGTCAACTTAATTGACTAGAAAACCACCACATGGGCCTAGCACAGGTGGAAATATCCTTGTCTCTTAGCCATAGTCAAGAGGTGGTCTCTTCTCTTCCCTCTGCAGCATTGGTGGTGTAATTATGATTGTGGATATGTTGGACGCTAACCATGGTTAGCTTTAAATCTGAGTTTGAGGTGTGGGATTTAAAGTGGATGTACAGACTGGCTAACTTCATTGTAGACACAACATTACACATTAACACTGTAGGTGAAGGTGTGGACTTTGGTGAGATGGAAAGGAAGGGAGTGTTAATGTCTGGCAGTTGCTCCTGATCTTAACCATGGGTAAGAGGCTTGGAAATGTTGAATCAACAGTGCCAGAATGTCTGCTTTTATCTTATTTTGTTTGATCTCAGACAACAGGCAGGTATCCTCACTGCAGAATATCACCTTTTTCCTTTCGTGCTATTTTCGTAATATTTGTAGCAACATGGATTAGAAATTCACTCTTAAAAACTAGCTGAAGTAGGAACTACATCTAGGTGATATTTAGGTGCTTTCTACACAACACTATGATAGGAATAGGGAACATGTGGCCCTCTGGATGTTGGACTAAAACTTCCATCAATCCCATCCAGCATGGCCCAGTGGTTAGGGATGATGGAAGTTGTAGCCCAGCAACATCTGGAGGACCACAGGTTCCCCATCCCTGGGGATGTAGCTGATTTATTTGATCTCCTTGTCTCCAGCATCTGGTAACCATTCTTTCTAGTAGTGGTTAAGACCCACAGAGGGGTCTCACCCTGACGTCAGGTGGGTTGCATTCGTGGTTCTACTACCATGTTAAAAACAGTTTGGTGGGAAGCTGACTAAAAGTGGGAGAATAGAGGGTGACTAGATAGAGGGACATTCTTCAACTTACCACCTAATTTGAGAAGCTTGAGCCTGACAAAAAATTTCCTCTGCAGCACCTATTTGGGGCAGCCTTGTGTTTAAGTGCTAGCCTGATACCCACAGGTGAAACAGTTCCACGGAGGCAGGTCACTGGGCTGGCAGAGCAGGGGTGGAGGCCTCCCTCCTTTGCCAGTTCACAACAGGCTAGTAGACTTTTTTTTTCTTTCTTGCTTACAAGGCTGTACCAATGTCCATTAAATCTGGAAATAAAAGCAAAAGAGAGAAGTGGACATACACAGCAAAATAACAGCAACCTCCATTTATTTGTTATAGATTGAGGTTACGAATGTGTCCTGAATTCAAAAGTGCAGTTTATTTTCTTTCGCAGTGTGCATCCAATCATTTATGTTTGACTGCTTACACTTGGTTATTCCACCAGTGTTAGAGCTCCCTGTTGGGAATGTGTTACATGTCCAAGTGGCAATTATCTGTGTGCAGGAGAGCACTTCCGTGAGCAATGGCACTTGTGTAACACTGTTTGGTAAGCATTTATGCAACCTCTGCATTGTGGCTCTCCCACCGAGTGGCATTAACACAATTCCAAACCACTTATTTTCCAGCTTCGAGTGAGGCTAATAATTTCCTAGAAGTGACACAGGCGGCGATGATAATAAAAAAACCTTTACCAACAGTAGTTACTCATGTTCTAAGTCATTCATTTAATGATTCACTGGTTTACGCTTGGGATGTTTTCAGAAATTATCCCTGCAATCATAAGGGCTAAACAAATTTTAAGTACACATGAAAGAACAAAAGTGGTTCCGGTTCCCCCTGGTGAGAAAGCGTCAAGAAACACGTTCCCCACAAAATAAGGGCAGAACGAATTTCCTTGCAGTGCTGCTGGTCTTGAGTGGTTAAATATTTCCACTTGATGATCGAAGCAGTAGGAAAAGCACTTGGTGATTGGTCCAAAGCGGTTTGTGAGTTGCTTAGCAGGGAGGAAGTTTGAACCCTGGTGCATGTTTCATAACAGCGCTCCAGTGTGGGGCAACTGACTTCAGCTAACTTCAAATGATCTCTTTGTTGAAAGCCAGTTTCTGTTGAGAGGAAGTGGCATGTCAAAGGGTTGCCTGCCTTGCAGCAATGGGGAGAAAATTCATAACAGCTAATGCCAGGTGATGCGCTGAAAACCGACTCCAGGCTATAGTATTGTGAGTGGAAGAAGTTGAGAGCTCCTGTTGTGCACTAATAACTGAGCACAAAACACAGACGTCATAATTCTGGGTCAGGCTTGTGGTCCAGCGTTCTTCAGCTTCCCGTTTATAGCTTTGCTTTGTGCTTTTAAAGCATTTAATAAAACCTAAGTGTCATAGTCAAAGAGTCTCAGACCCTTCGGAGGTTAGAGTGGGCGGTGAAGAATCTTTATTCAGCCGGAGGGCCATGTTCCCTGCTGGACAGCTTTTCAAGGGGTCACCTGCCACGGGTGAGCAGGACCTCAAGCCAAAGGGGGTGGGGCAACAGAAGCAAATACAACCTTTGTACACAGAAGGCTGATTTTTACACAATACCCTTCTGTAGCCTCCATCCAGACAAGCAGGAGGCATTATTGGAGTTCAAGGGCAAATCCCTGCCAGGCAAAAACAGGAGGGGGTGAAGCAGGGCCATTGAGGGTGTGTGGTCTAGGGAGAGTTCCTTGGACCAGAGGCCTAGAGGGCCACATTCTGCTCCCTGGCCTGAGATTCCCCACCCCTGACTTAGAGCAGCTGGTTCTTCCTTTCTCTATGTCTCATTGAATGTGTGAAGAGATAGCCTAACCTACTACTGTGCTTTATCCTCCCTCAAGATTAAGCTTCCACCTTCTTCAGGACTCTCCACTGCCTCCTTTCCCTAATTCCCCCTGAGGCTTATAGGCCAAGAGGAGGAGCTGGGAGCCTCTTTTCAGCTTGGCCCTTGTGCCCCCTTGCTGATTACTGGTTGAACTACTTGTGAGCAAGCAGCTGCTCTTGCAGCATTCCCCGCTCCCCCCATTAAAAAATTACAGAGCTGCTTAAATGCAGGTTTGAAATTAATGTAGCAAGGTTGGGAGGCCAAAGCAGAGATTCTGGAATGGCAAGGCTATGGAGACAAACCAGATGCAGTAAGTCTAGTGCCCTTTCCTAATTTTTCGCCTAAAGTTGCTTGGCCTGTAACCACCATATTGTTGTGACTTATAACAAGCACCTTAGAAATTCTGGGAACCCATGATCTGGTTTTAGGACTGTGGGAAAGCTCGCTTTCTGGTTGTCATTTAGATTTTCCCAACACTGAGAATGTCACTGAATCAGAAATATATTCATGATCTAAGGCCAAGGACCCACCAAGTGGCTTGCCTGGGGGTTGGTCCCGGCCCACTGGCGAACAGAACACCCACCGTTGCACAGATTCCTATCTAGAGGTCTAATTCCCAATACAGGATAAGAGAAGACCCTGGCTTGTATCCTCTGTTAGTCCTACTCAGAGTAGACCCACTGAAATGAATAGGCATGGCTAACACAGGAAGTCCAGTGGGTGCTCTGAGTGAAATTTGGACATAGCCCTTTGCCTCTTTCCCTATCTGCATGCTGCAGAATGTGGGGGAAGGGATTGGTTGGTGGTAACGCTAAATAATGACTGGCTGGTAAACCAAGCGAAACACTTGACTTCCTAACCAAGTAGCAGCTAGATAATAAAGCAGGCTGCTCTGTTTTACTTTACTATCTTCTGACACCCACCCCTTTTGCTGACAACAACTGTCCAGGCAGCAATGCACATGGGAGTTCTATATCACACAGCAGTCCAGAAGTGTTACTAGTCAGCCATTATTTTTGACTGCTTCCGGTTCCCCTTCCTCTTGGCATGCAAAGGGGGCTTGATTCTTGTCTTATTTGTGTAGGATATGTGGTAAGCAAGAAATTGGGGGGGGGGGTCCTCCCTGGCTGCTTCAAAGAGGAACATGCTTCAAAATGCAGTTGAAATAATAATAATAATAATAATAATAATAATAATAATATCTTTATTGTCATTGCCCTGTGAAATGAGACCTGTGGGAGTAAGAGACAAAAACGCCTGTTTTTTTTTAACTGTGTAGAATGCAAAACAAGAGATCTGTGGTGCTGAGGTGTCGTGGTCACTAGAAGGCAGTGGGGACTTGCTCATGAGAAGTATATTTGTTGATATGTGTGCATGAAAGAACATTGTGGTTCAGGATGAAGATATAGCAATAATAGCAGCATCCACTCCCTGCATCAACCATAATTCTTTCCCTCTCATTCCCTTACGTGGCTCTACATCCGCTTCCCAACTAAGTTGACAAGCTGCTAGCTTCAGAATTGAAGAAATATTTTTAGGGAGAGAAATTCTTTCGATTTGTTCCCTGGTGGGGAAAAAACAGCCTTCTGTTCATTTAAACAAGTGGGTCTCTTGTTTAAAGTGCCCCCCCCAGCCGCCACCCCTCCCAGCATGATCTGCAATAGGGAAATGTTCTGTGCTGGTACTTCTGCAATCCAGTTTGCTCATGTAGAAGGAGAAAAGTAACTAAAAATAGTGCTCGGCATTCACTGCACAGCTGACTTTATTTCGGAGATTACTGGGTTCTCTTTTGAAACGTCACATGTTCTTTCTGAAATGGCAAATCCAGGCCCTTGAGGAAGACTTGTCTTTGAGGGTCAGAATTGCTTTCTGCTTAATGGCTTAATTGAGGAGTGCTTTAAAATCGGCCAGTCTTCTGAAAGAGCTGTGATTAAGAGTATTTTTTTAAAAAAGTATGTGAAGCCATAGAAAAGTTACACAAGATCTCTAGTTGTGTCATTTTCTCTCTCATTGAGTGAAATTCTTGTCTTGGTTGCTCTTATGAGAGCAACAAAGTTAAAAATAGCTGATTATGTTGGGAATAAGTAGCAAAATCAGAAGCTGTCGTATTCAGAACCTGAATAACCAGCACAGACTGCTAGATTGCTTATTCTGCCGTAAGGGATCAAGAAGTGGTAATGCTTGAGAGGGTCTTCTCTGAGGCGGGCTCTCAGATTGTAGAATGACCTCCTTTCCGATGTGCGTCCTGCGCCATCTCTGTATGCTTTCTTTGCAGTAAGTGCACCTCTGTGCCCAGGCCTTTGGTTATTGCCCTGTCCTGCTGTTTTCCTTCTGTCATTGCTGGGTTGTGGTCTTATTTTATGTTATCAGTGTAAAATTATACTTGGATTTTCAATGGTGACAGTTTTGTAACCATTTAATGGGACCATTAAAAGTGGGCTGGAGCACTTCAAATGTTGAATGAACCTGTGAATTAAACCTTCCAGTGGTGCAGTAGCCTCAGTATTTTCCAGAGTTTCTCTTATTTATCTTTCAGATTTATAAATTGTGTCATAGCCAGAAGCTATTGAAGCAGTGCATAATAAGATAAAATGAAGTAAAGCACAAAAGATGCAGACACTTAAACAATAAAACTAATTCTTAAATTTGTGCAGTTAATATTCCATAAGTGATTCAGGGAAAGGCTTATTTAACAAATATACCTTCAGTAGCATCCTAAGCATCAAGATACTAGGCACCTGTTGGATTCCAGAGGATTGTGTAATTGCTATTTACTATGTATTGTTTTGGCATGTAAACATGAATCCATCCAGAATAATTAAGCTTCCCTCTTTTTTCCCCTTTTTGTCTTTCAGTAAGCGTGGCTTCATTGTTCGATCCTTTGGGACGGGGACTCACGTGAAACTTCCAGGACCAGCGCCGGACAAGCCAAACGTTTATGATTTCAAAACGACATACGATCAGATGTACAATGACCTGCTTAGGAAAGACAAAGAACTGTATCCCTGTGGAATGCCCCTTTCAAAACCCTGCTGTTCACCTTTCCGAAAGCTGTTCTTCGCACGTTTGCATAAGGAATATGCTGCTACTTGACTGTGGCAAGGTCTTGGTATTTTTCCAGTTCTAGGCAGGTGCTTCACATGATTGAAGGGCTCTTACCACATCCCTTTAAATGCTCTCTTTACCTTCCAACCCCCGGTCCATTAAGTAGTGGTGCATGCGGTAGAGGAGATTTGACACTTTCTTGGGATGTGATTTGCACTTCTGTGCTCTGGATGACTATGCTGGGTTGCCCCCATAACTGGCTACTCAAACGGCAATAGCTCTATAGTCATGAAATTCACTAGGAACCTGACAGCTGAAGGTTTTGGCTTGATATCCCAATTCCTGACCGTACACAGCTGCTTTCCTTTCTGGCCATTCTCCCTCTTACTTTTCTGTCCTCTCCCAGACTTTTCCTCAAAACCATTCCCATCTCCTGATTCATTCCCCAAATCCCCCTGCCCCCTTTGGCCAGCCCTGACCTCCCAGGCTCCTGTTGACCCTTCTGCCTTTCCCACCTCTCTGTGACATCAGGGGTAGCTCAGCCACTGACTGCCAGAGACCACCACTGCAAAATCTTCTTTACAATATATACAGTGGTGCCCCGCAAGACGAATGCCTCGCAAGACGGAAAAACCGCTAGACGAAAGGGTTTTCCGTTTTGAAGTTGCTTCGCAGGACGAATTCCCCTATGGGCTTGCTTCGCAAGACGAAAATACCTTGCGAGTCTTGAGGGGTTTTTTTCGCTTTTCCCCCCCTTTATCTAATCTGCTAAGCCTTTAATAGCCTTTAATAGCCTTTTAGCAGCTAATCCCCTAAGCCTTTAAGCCTTTAATAGCCGCTAAACCGCTAATAGCGCTAATAGCGCTAATCCGTCAATGGGCTTGCTTCGCAAGATGAAAAAACCGCTAGACGAAGACTCTCGCGGAACGGATTAATTTCGTCTTGCGAGGCACCACTGTATATATAGAACTGCTCAGATGCTAAGCATCTTGTCTCTCCCCCCCCCCGTCCCCGCCTCCCATTGTACCGGAAAAAGCACTTTGGACATTGTCCTTCAGAGAGAGCTACAGTAGAAGCATTTTGTGCTAGAATAATTCAGTTCAATGTGGGTTCCCCCAGGATGATCAGAGCTAGTGTAGCATCTTTCCTGCACTAACAGGTTTAAAATACACCTCCCATTGGATGTGTGAACCCTACTGTGAATGGATTGGAGCAGTACAACGAGTGGTGTGAATGCATCCTTAGAAACAGTGTGAGGGTCTGGCACCTTTCCCACATGGCCTGGCAAAGATTTGTTCTTTGCAATGAACTGGCTGTGGACGACAGTTCAGGCAAGGAAGCAGGTAAGAACTATAAAAGTAGACCAGCCTGTACCTTGACCAAGACGGAGGTGTGTGATTAGGTGTCACCACCCCTTTCAGAGCAGCTAAAATGCAGGTCCTGCAACTCTTCAGTACACTCATCCATATTCAACTCTAGCATATAGACTTAGATGTTCTTTCTGGTGCATCTCAAAGTGTTCAGGATCCGTTGGTATCCTGGATTTACTGGGGTGGTGTTTTTGTCAACCTTGGGGGGGAAATTAACCCTGCTTAAGCAAAAGCATGCCTGCTCCTTTCCTAGGATTAACTAATGGCATTTGTAACAAGAATGACACGCTTTCAAAGGTGTGTTTGGTCTAATGGGGTTCCCCCTTCATCTCAAATATTACCTGGCCGAATTTTAAAAACAAAAACAGGAAAACTTCATACACTTTGGAAATAAAGGGGCTTTAATGAGTTCATTACCAGCCAAAGGTTTAGGCTGTAGCAGCCCTGGAATATTTCTAATACTAGATATGAAACTCACATCTTTTGAGAAGTGGTATTTAAAAGTAACCTTTCCAGGTGCCTTAGTAGCTGAGGACAGCCAGGAAAGTGCCTCGCTTGAAACCTGGGGCCAGTAGTTCCTGCTACTTCCTTTTTCTCTGGAGCTTGAACAGGAAGTAATGAAAGGGATTGGCCAGGAGGGACAGCACTGTTTACACTCTCAGAAGGCTCAAATAGGTTAAAAGAAGATGACATCCAGAAATAGATGCTTAAAAACTAGCATAAAGCTGGTCGCAGGCTGCTGAGTTGAAAGGATATTGATAACCAAATACCCACAAGGTCAGTACAGAGAACAGTCTGGCAGTAACAGGCCCTCATTTCGTCTCCTAGTCTTGCTTTAGACCGTTAAAGTGATTGTCAGAAGACTTGAGGGAGACATCAGGGGGTCCATAAATCCACATGTTTTTGGGCAGAGTATCAGCTCTGTGTGCGTGTGTTAACCGGTGGGACACCATTAAACCTGAGAGCCTACAGCTCCCAGTAGTTACGGTTTTCATTTTGTTTCAGGCTTTCCTTAAACCCACATCGCCACGTTTCTCTTTGGGGGCCGCATACACCACACCTGGAGCTTTTCATTTAGGGGGTGTCACGTTTTATAAAAGGATTTCACCATCACCAGTAATGCTGTATGTGCCAGGGCTTGAGGAAACTTGGAAGGACTGCGGTGGGGATTGAACTGGGAGCCTGTAACCCTTGAGCTTCTCTTGTAGGTATAGTTCTCACTGAGGTCGCAGAGCTGTGTCTGGGCCCTTCTACTGTAAGCTGGGAGGTGGGGGATGCAGAATTCATTGGTGGAATATAATCCCTTTGATGGACCACGGGTCCATCAAGCACCACGCTTTGTCTGCCACGGTGCCTAGATGGCTCCAGATCACAAGCTGGGCATGTCCCACTAGAGGTAATACTGGTTCTGAACAGTTGAGTGTCTCTCTTTAACGATCATGGCTAATGGCAGACAAATCCTCCGTGAATTTGCTCTTCTTGGCCACCTGAGTTACTGGCAGTTGTCATACCCCCAAGTAAATTATGCATTGTTTGAAAGATGTTCTTTTTCTTCTACCTGTCTTACTTCTGCTGCTACTCAGTTTCAGTGGGTGACCTGAGTGCTAGTACTGTGACAGAAGAGACGAATATTTCTGTAGCCTTGTTTTTTCTCCACATCACACACAATCCTCCTACTATCATTCCCCATGTTGGTTAACTGCCCCCCAAAATTAAATGCCCCAAATTAGCCAGTGATGGGAAACTTTATGGCACCCCAAAAGAGTGATAGGAGTTGTGGTCCAACAACATCGGGAGAGCCACAGTTTCCTCATTCCTGCCCTGTACATGGAAATGTAGTTGGCTTTGGAGAAGGTGAGATTAGTGCCCCTTCTTGGCATTCTGTGTGCAGGGATTTGGGGAGGGGGACCACTGCATCATTCAAACCTCGTGTCGACAAGCCTCCATTAATACTGCCCAGACACAGTCAAGACCTCAGTGAGAATTAGCACCCGAGAAGCACTACGAAAAAGGACTGGTCCCATAACATACCTCATATGGTTGGGCTGGTTTTTGTTTTAAATATACTTTTTTCCTGAGGTGGTGACCATCTCAGTGGGGCACTAGCGATTCTGTTAGAAAATGGGGAAGACTTTACCATAGACGTTTTGAGGATCTATGTGATGGTTGCCTCTCTTGTTAAAATGATTTGTTGTACTGAGAACATAACAATTAAAAAAGAAATACAATTGGCCCCCTGTCCACGCTCCTGGAGTTGCTTTTTTCTTAGTTCAGCGCTGCATTGAGAGGCAGAACTGTGGCCACCAAGCACTCCTTGCGATGGGATGGGATGGGGTGGGGGAAGTGGAGCAGCCAGTTGCATTTGGGGCCCTAAGGGTCTATGAAAGGCACCAAAAAGTTTTTAGGGGTTCTGACCTCTTGTTCAGAAGGCAGTCCTCCTCTGGATTGCAGTTGAGAAGGCAAGAGCAATCTTCCACTCACTGTAAATTACCAGTTCTCTACCCCCCACCCCACCCCGACTTGCTGTCATTTTGGGAGCAGATCTACGTTTGGCCTGGTGGGATGGGGGAAATGAGATGAATTGTTCTAATAAAATAGTTGCTGCAGGATACTTGGGCAGAGAAGAATGGCTACTGAGGAGCTCTGCTTTTTAGATGGGAGAGCCCATCTTAAGATGGGCAAGTTGCGTGGGGTATCTCAAAAGAAGTGTGGATGGGAAACGTCATCCAGAAGCTGTAGCTCAGGAACAGGGAACCTGTGGCCCTCCAGCCATTACTGGACTTTAACTCCCATCAGCCAGTAGCCAAGGATGATGGGAGTTTGAGTTCCAGCAACTCCTGCTTCCCCAGTTCTGCTCATTTTCAGATAGGTGAGGGCGTCTCCTTCCAGCCTTCCGTGTCTGAAAAGAGCAGCTCCTCTGTGTATAAATGGGCAAACGTTTTGTGTCTGTGCCTCCATGGTGTGTGGAAACAGGTCCGTGTCTTGGCACCAGAAGGGGGTCTCCCTGCCCTAGCAGAGCATGGAAACTAGGGTACACGGTGGACGTTTGTGGAAAGGCTTCTGCTACCCATCTTCCCCCCCACCTCCCACCCACCCCTCCAGTCCATCTGGTCAGTCAAGGAAGCAGCCATCCCAACCAGGCAGAAAAAAAGCGCTACAGCGACTTACATCAGGAAACCAAGGTAAAAAAAGAACAAGAAACAGCTGCTTAGAATGGCAACATGTATGTTTAAAAAACAACAACTTTTTTCTACCCTTTATAGGGAAAACGGGCAAGGGTGGGGAATGAACCCCATTTGGTGTTTAAAGGAAATGGAAGATAGTCGTTGTTTTGGCTGAGATGACTTTGGCTGAGTTGCACGACGCACAGTCATACATGCAGGTCTGCTCCCTATTTCTCCTTTGAGAAGGCGTGGAAATGTAGGCAGCTCCATGTGTACTTGGGAGGATGAAGAGTGGCCATAGTTCAGTGGTAGACCACACGCTTTACCTGCAGAAGGTGCCAGATTCCATCTTTGGTATCTTTCTAGGAAAAGGATCTTGAGCTGGAGATATGGGAAAGACCCCACAGAGAGCAATTCCCTTTCAGGAGGATTCCCAAGTGCTGAGCTACATAGACCAGCAATCTGATTTCAGTACAGTGGTACCTTGAGTTAAGTACTTAATTCGTTCCGGAGGTCCGTTCTTAACCTGAAACTGTTCTTAACCTGAAGCAGCACTTTAGCTAATGGGGCCTCCTGCTGCCGCAGCGCCACCAGAGCACGATTTCTGTTCTCATCCTGAAGCAAAGTTCTTAACCTGAAGCACTATTTCTGGGTTAGCGGAGTCTGTAACCTGAAGTGTATGTAACCCGAAGTACCACTGTATAGGACAGTTCCTACACTGGAAGATGGCGCAGCCTGTTTGAACATGAACAATTTGAAGCATATTTGGATGGATAGGAGGAAATGGTAAAAGGCAGTTGTTGACGAAGCTTCAAGGTGGGGTTGGGGAAACCAGTGGCCCTCCAAATGTTGGACTTCCAACTTGACTCAGCCAGCATGGGCAGTAGTCAGGGATAAAGAGCCGGCTGTGGGGCCAAAAGTTCCCATCCCTGCTGGAAAGGGCTATGGGTGAGCAAGGCTCATCCAGCAACCCAGACAGAACACCCTTAGTGAAAACTATTGAGGGATTCAGTTCTGCAGCCCACTAGCACTGATTCACACAAAGTCCATTTCTCATTGCAGGAGATGGTCATGTGACAAGAGCATAGCAGGTAGCACTTAACCTATTAAGCATTTATTTTTATTATTGCCTTTGGATCCCACCCGTCCTCCGAGGAGCTGAAGGTGGCATACATACTTCTCTTCCTCCTCACGTTATCCTCACAACAGCCATGTGAGGTAGGTTATGCTGAGAGACAGTGACTGGCTCAAAGTCACCCAGTGAGCTTCATGGCTGAGTGGGGATCTGAACGGTCTCCTAGATGCTGCTCCAACTCTGGCCAATGCACCACACTGGGTGTACCATTCCATGGAGTTGAGCAGCTTTTAGTGAAGCTTCCATGCTACTAAAACACCAGTACATGTTTCTTCTTTAGAGACTGAAGGAGCTTCTGTGTGTAAGAACTTAAAATGTAGTGAAACATAGCTTTATGAGTCTTTGGTAAGAAGGCGAGGTATTTTCATTGCTCGTCATTTCCTCCAGAACCAAATCAGCACCACAAAAACAAGAATCACAGACTTAACTCCATCACTTTAAACTGTCCTGCACAGGTGAATCAAAAGCTTTAGTTGATCAGTCTGCTGATTTTAAATTTTGCAGTCAGTGAGTTCCCTTTCTGATTTTAAAAAGCAATATTGATTTCACCCTCCGTAACCTTTCTAACACTGCCCAGCCATGAAGCGTTTGCTTAAAATACTTGATGTATAGCATCACTGTGCTTAAAAGACAGTTGAATTAGGCTATGCCCATGGATTCGCTTTTTCAGCTATATTAGAAGTGCTTCATAAACTATTTGTCTGAATGGGATTTGTGTAATTGGGGAAACTTTTAGGCTAGATTCCCACCCCCCTTAAAATTCAGAACATAAAAGATTAGCTGATTAATTATTTTTAAAAGTTTGTTGTAGGGATTTTTTTTTAATCTCCCTCTCTCTCAGGCCCAGCTACCAAAATCTTAAAATAACATAATTGGCCATAACTTTAGCTCTTGGAAAACAGTTTTCAACTTGGGTTGGAAGTAATGCTTGTGGAAACAGGTGCTTTTTAAATTATATTTACGTAAGCCTCTCACACATATTCATGTGCGTGCACACTGCAGTAAGCTAGTTTAAATGGGTAAAAGTTACTTTGTTATGCACTGGATTTGCAATTCCAGCAGTGTGGCCCATTCTGGTTGGCTTCAGTGTGCCCTGACAGTATCTGTGCAAAAATAATTATGTGTAAGCCCCCTTGAGCACTGTTGATGACGATGGAAGGGTAGCACTTTGAACTTCACCATAGTACTGCAGTTTATATGGCGAGTTCAAGTGTTCAAGGCATTTCACTCACTTTATCCTGTAATTCTAACCACTGCCTTTGTAAGAGGCTGATTTTCCCAAATTGCACATGGCAGGAGGGAGAGGTGGGACGCTGCAGGAGACCTCTTGAATTGAGGAATGGCCACAGCTCACTGTTAGTGCATCTGCTTTGCATACAAGAAGTCCCACATTCAATACCAGCCATTTTTAGGTATCTCTGGGAGAGACCTCTGCCTGGAGAGATGCTGACAGTCAATGTAGGCAATATTGAGCTAGATGGACTTAGTATAAGGCAGCTTCCTATGTTAGACACATACACAGGTACGTTAATTGTAGGGACTTCCTGATTCATTGTGCGATCTCGGCTGCATCAGTGTTTCAGGCTTTTTCATCCTCAGCTTGCACCCTGCTTAGAGAGCAATCCCTGGGCCAGAAGATGGCTAACAGTGATAAAATGCAATGCAGAATCGAAACAAAGGAGTAAAATTAAAGGAGGCCATATCACTTCATACCCCCAGCTGCTTATAATTCAAAACCCAGTGAAGTAATTGTTGCTCTCTTTCAAAGGGCCAGTAGAGGAGATCTGGCAGGTCTCCTTTAAAAGGGGATGGGCTTCGGCAACAACACCTCCCCCCCATCTGCATACTTTCTCTCTGGTAGATCTTAACAAGTGATGATGGTGATGGATCATCACAACCTCAACTTCAGTTACGGAAGTGGGGGAAGAGCTGGGCCAATTACATTGCTTCCAAAGCACTTCAGCCAGACCTTTGTGTTCTGCACCAGCACAAAACCTGGTGGTCAGGATTCTGAGGTTCCCAGTGTTAGGGGAGTATGGGAAGTAAAAGGTAAAGGTAAAGGTACCCCTGCCCATACGGGCCAGTCGTGACCGACTCGGGGGTTGCGCGCCCATCTTGCTTAAGAGGCCGGGGGCCAGCGCTGTCCGGAGGCACTTCCGGGTCATGTGGCCAGCGTGACGAAGCTGCTCTGGCGAGCCTGCACCAGCGCAGCACACGGAAACGCCGTTTACCTTCCCGCTATAAAGCGGTACCTATTTATCTACTTGCACTTAAGAGTGCTTTCGAACTGCTAGGTGGGCAGGAGCTGGGACCGAACGACGTGAGCTCACCCCGCCACGGGGATGCGAACCGCCGACCATACGATCGGCAAGTCCTAAGCGCTGAGGTTTTACCCACAGCGCCACCCGCGTCAAATCTCGCTTCTGCCATGAACTCTGTTTCTCCCCTTCTCCACACTCAGCCCATGCAGTTCAGGCATGAAACCCACATCTCTATAGTAGACTGCATGCATCTCCCGTTGAAAGCTTTGGGCGCCAGGTGATGAGAAAACGCCCTTCATGATCTAGAGATGCTGGAGAGCCATTGCCAGACCAATTTGTCCAGGTGTGGGGAACTTTTGACCCTCCAGATGTTGCTGGACTATAGGCTCCCATCATCTCTGGTCACTGGCCATGTCTGCTTGGGCTGAAGCAGCCTTGCAGTTCAGCAACATCTGGAAGGTCAAAGGCTCTCCACACCCAAACTAGGTAATGCAAGGCTAGATGGGACAGTTACACAGACCTGGTATAAGGCAGCTTCCTCTTATGTGGGGTAACTTCTGTGCTTCAGCTTCTGTCGAGAGAGAAGTGAAGAACATCTGCTAGCAAGAAGGGACCTAAGTGATCTTCTCTTCCAACCCCCTGCAGCTATAGCACCTCTGGCAGGTTCATCATCCATCCTCAGCTCAAATGCTTCTGGTTGAGAGCCTCCCTCCCCTTCCATGGTGGTCTGTTCTATCATTGTACCGCTCATCCCATTAAGAAATTTCTCCTTAACTTCTAAGCCAAGATATGCTTCCCAGCATATCTAAACAGTTTGCAAAAATATAAAATAAAGCATCAACAATCTCACTAATTAAAAACAGTTGAAATCAAGTACAGCGGTATCTCAGGTTTTAACGTAATCCGTTCCGGAAGACCGTTCGAGTTCTGAAATGTTCAAAAACCAAAAACTCGACAGCTGACAGCTAGGCCTCAGAATCTTACACTCAGTGGAAGCTGCGTGGCATGTTCAACGTCTGAGGCGTGTTCAAAAACCAAAGCATTTTATTCCGTGTTTGCGGCATTCGTTAACCGAAATGTTCGTCAGCTGAGACATTCGAAAACTGAGGTCCCACTGTACTTAAAAGCATTCAAAATATGACTAAAACCAACAGGCACTAAAATGTGATAAACATGCATAAAACTTCTCCATGTCTGGATAGGCTTGCCTAAACAATGTTTTAATCAGGAGCCAAAAAGTACTGGAAAGGTGCCTGTCTGATGTCAGTAGGCAAGGAATTCCAAAGTGGGTCCTGCCACACTGAAAGGTGGATTTCTTCCGAGTATGGAATGGATCTCATGTGGCACCTGTAACAGGGTCACTTCAGCAGACCTAAGCATTTGAGTCCTCAGAGCAAGAGAGAAACCAGACTCTTCCATCCTCAGTGTGAAAGCCCTTCAAATATTTTTCCCAATTTCACCAGGCTAAGTACCCCAGCTCTCCTCAGCTGTTCTTCATAGTTTCCAGGCCCCCTCACCATTCTGGCTTTTTTCTTTTTCTTTCTGGACACAGTAGTACTACAGATGCTGTCTGGGCTGTTACTGCTTCTGACCCGGATACCACTTCTGCAATCTGAGATTGCATTAAACTGTTTTGGATTGCACATTGCTGGCTTGTGTTTTTCACTTTTGGCCTTAGATGCCCCTAGATCCTATTCACATGTACGACTGCCCTTCCAGAGCTCTTCTACCTGATTTTAGGTGGCCTTTGGGCTGATCTAACAGCCATGCTCCTCTTACATTCTTATGATACAGTTTACTGCAGGGTAGTGGCATTTAGCTGAAGATTCATTTTCATTTAAAACTTTGGAAATGTCAGCCTGCCTCCTCTTCGATCCCTATGGAGCTCTTCTATTTTCCTGATAGGGTTGCCAGCTGGCCCAAGTAAAATGCTGATGTTTTTTCAACTGGGCTTCTGCTGCCCGGTAACTAATTGGGCTTGACAATTGTGCATCCATCAGATTAAACCTACAAATAAACCTAGCTGAAATGCTACTTGTTTAAGAAGCTTTTTGATTTCACCAGTGGTCTCAATAGTTTACTGCACCTCAATGAAGGTGGGAGCTTAGACGTGTTATGTCCTAAAGCATAGCATTACAATTAATACCCCTCCAACCGAAACTTCAAACCCCACCTTCCCTTTACAAACTCCCGAACCAACAGCATTCCTTGAGAGAGAAAAATCTGCGTTAGATTTATAATGTCAAGTTGTCCTGCAAAGAGGAAGCTTTGCAGCATCTGCGCTTGGTGGAGAGAAGTTAGGAGAGTCTTAAAAGATTTGAGGAAAAGCTAGAGAGATCAGGAGGTCTTGAACCACAAATGCTTCTGCAGCCTTCCTGTCTTCAACTGGTAAGTTGAGGAGAGGGAAGCAAAAGCAGATCCCTTCCCCAAAGAGATGACAATCCTAACTCTCAACCGTGGGGCAGATGATGATGATGGGAGAGGAGACAGGGAAAACATTGGCAAGGAGAAATGAAGGTGAGCAGATTTTCCTAAGTTAGTTTCATCTTGGTGAAGGCATCATGAAATAACGTGAATCGCACTGGGGGTGCCACTACTGTCTTTTCAGTTGTTTCTTTAAAGGGGGGAGCAAAGTGAGGAGGAAGAAGTATACAGCAATAAAAACAGATTTAGAAGTGAGTTTCATATTTCAGGTCGAACCAGTCCTCAGTTGCCAGTATTGTAGTATCCACCCTTGGCACCCAACTGAGTGCCTTCCCTTCCCCTGCAAGCCCTAGCAACCCCACACTTGTGGAAACCCTGGGATACGTTCACTGTAGCACTAGGTTTAAGTCACTTAGTAGTATACTCGTTGCACTGGTATAACTGGTTGTGCAATGGGAAACATGAGTACATTCCTCTAGACCACAGTGCAAACGTCTAGACCAGGCATGATCAAACTTGGCCCTCCAGCTGTTTTGGGACTACAATTCCCATCATTGCTGACCACCGGTCCCATTAGCTAGGGATCCTCGAAGTTGTAGTCCCCAAATAGTTGGAGGGCCACGTTTGGCCATGCCTGGTCTAGACAGTTGCACTATGGATTGCACCACAAGCTTCTGCCAGCACAACTTCTTGTGTTGGGTTCCTTTGTTGTGCCAGCTTTAAAACTGCCATCCATAGTGCAAAGGGGTCTTGCATTAGTGGGCAGAGAATGTTGGACGCAGCCCCCTGTAATCATTTCTGTGGCCAAATAGCTTCCTATGTCGCTGCAGGAAATCCATTTTAAGCCTTTGGCAGCTTCTGCCCATCCCAAAGATGGGGAAAATATATTTGGCAGCTGTTTCTCAGTTAATCTTAATAGTAGTGTTCACCTTACTGCCGGTTAGCTCTCCGTGGAGCAGGAACTACTTCAGTGCATGCCCTGTGAAATGCATTCCTATGTCTACCCAATCATGCGCTAGTTTGGGGTCATGAATAACTTAACAAAAATACCCTTCCTGATTAACTTATAATTAATTATGCAAAGCAAGTGAGGTGTATGCGGCAATGGTCCCTTGCCATTTTTTTTAATGTTTACTTCGCTGTTCAGCCAAAGCCAAACCCCCCCCCCCCAGGGCTGCTTACAAATGCCAGTGATAAGACAGTCTCGGTCCTTAGGCGTCCAATCTTAAAAGTCACAACAGGAAAGGGAGGAGGAGGAGAAAAGCAACATTGGGCTTTATTCCCCAATTACTGGATTCTTGTAATGGTCAGCTGGGGTTGAAAGATTTCCACGAGAGGAGGTTTTTGTTCCTAGTGTGAAGAAGAAATACTTTTGTGGCAGTTCATGGCTGTCCCAGTAAAAGAGGGCTGCCTTGCTTGTGGCAGACAAGGATGAGAAACCTTCAGACGTTGTTGGACTCCAACTTCTATCATGTCCATCCAGCATGGCTAACAGGGATGATGGGAGATGGTAGCCCAGGGACACCTGGAGGATTGCAGCTTCCCCATTGCTGCCATAGGACTGCCTCTGTCCCTTGCTTGCTTGGGATGGGAGAGGGGCACAGACAATGCTGCAATGTTCCTAGTGTCACGTCCACAATGTAAGGGGCGGCTCTTTGCCAGAATGCCCTTTAAAGGGGGGTTAAGACACAGATGTGACTTTGTTGTTGTAGTTTAGTCATTTAGTCATGTCCAACTTTGTGACCCCATGGACCAGAGCACGCCAGGCACTCCTGTCTTCCACTGCCTCCTGCAGTTTGGTCAAACTCATGCTGGCAGCTTTGAGAACACTATCCAACCATCTCGTCCTCTGTTGTCCCCTTCTCCTTGTGCCCTCCATCTTTCCCAACATCAGAGTCTTTTCCAGGGAGTCTTCTCTTCTCACGAGGTGGCCAAAGTATTGGAGTCTCAGCTTCAGGATCTGTCCTTCCAGTGAGCACTCAGGGCTGCTTTCCTTAAGAATGGAGAGGTTTGATCTTCTTGCAGTCCATGGGACTCTCAAGAGTCTCCTCCAGCACCATAATTCAAAAGCATCAATTCTTTGGCGATCAGCCTTCTTTATGGTCCAGCTCTCACTTCCATACATCACTACTGGGAAAACCATAGCTTTAATTATACAGCTATGACTAGGCCAAGCGTTTTGAGAGTACCCCAATGGAATGGAGCCTCCAGGCTCAGCAGCGGTATACCTGTAGGGCCACACCACAACTGGCAGCCAATCACATTCTTGTTTTGGTTGTGGGCTGCTTGGAAACCTGGCAGGACACCGCCGGGAGGGTTGGGCTGGAAGATCCTTGGTCTGCTTTTAGCAGGGCTCTTGGCGTTAAACGTTCTCATCTTGGACCCAGGAGCATTATGGGTTGTTTTATTTTTTTTTTAAGTATATAGGAAGAAGCCGGGGGGCGCCACAAGGTTTTCCTTCTCCGCAGCAAAGCAAAATAACAACCTTTTTTCCTCCGAGAAGCTCAAGGTGGCATACATGCCTCCTTGTTATTCTCACAACAACCCTGTGATGTAGGTTGCGCAGAGAAGGTGCCTGGTCCCAGGGTGCAGCCCAGTGAGCTTCATCATGGCTAGGTGGGGCTTTGAACCCTACACTCTCAGGTCCTAGTCTTGACACTTCACTAGTGGCATGGTGAAGCTGGTATTGTAGGCAGGCTCTATATGCTTGCCAGCACCCGAAGAGCTGGATGGATCAGTTATCTGACTGATCAGCTTCCTTCTGAACTGAGGGTGCTATGGATGCCAATACGCTTGCAGAGTGGTAAGAGGCAAGGCTATATTTAGAAGGCTCCCAAGTGAGCTACTTCAAGCAGGTTGAAGGTTTCTCTTAGCTTAGGACAGTCTCCGGAGTGTCCCGAAGTTACCCGGAACGCTTCTTTTTCTCCTCTGTCATAACTCCCTAGCCCTTGGACCCATCTTTCTGAAATTTTGCGGGCTACTTTCCTAGAGGCACCACTCCCAATACATTGGTACCTTGGGTTACAGACGCTTCAGGTTACAGACTCCGCTAACCCAGAAATAGTGCTTCAGGTTAAGAACTTTGCTTCAGGATGAGAACAGAAATTGTGCTTCGGCGGCGCGGCAGCAGCAGGAGGCCCCATTAGCTAAAGTGGTACTTCAGGTTAAGAACAGTTTCAGGTAAAGAACGGACCTCCGGAACGAATTAAGTACTTAACCTGAGGTACCACTATATATACCTTTTACATAGCAAGACGCATTTCTCACAAAGCCACAAGGAAGAAAATAAACTTTTCATGTACTTGCCCCCAAGACTGTGGACCTCCTTCGTTCGTTTGCCAGCCCCTGCCCACTCAGGTGGGGTACTTACTGTGCCTTCACATTTCACCCAATTCCATCAAAAAGGGGGGAGGTTTAAAACTTCTTTTAAAATTACCCCAAAATAATGAATTGGGGGGAGGCATGATTCACCCCCTGGAATCAGGATTTGGCTGGAAACCCTAAGCTGATTCGGGCATCCTCCAAATAGGTTAGGAGCAATTTGGGCTGTTTTCCAAAGTGCCACATCAGGGTCTGAAAAAGAGTTGGTGCACTTTCCTAATAAGCAGGAGTTTAGAAAGATGAGGAGATCAGGTTATCACTAATTATCTATTATACACCTTAATATGACAGGTTTCATGTGCTAGATTGACAGCCCTTAGTTGCACTGGAAGGGAATATTCAGCCTCCCTTTGCAGAGTAAAATTGCAGAGCGAAATTTTTTTTTTAAAGGCCCTTAGTTTACAGCCTCCCTTAAAAGCCTTCATTGATTCATTTTGATACCTTCTCCTTATAAAACATGTTTTCTGATATTGTATAATTTATTCCAGCTTTACTAGTCATGGCAGTAACTCAGACTTCTCACCACTGGAGCTCCTGTCTAGCATTCACTTGTTGTTTTTTTGAGATTTTCACAGGCATTGCTGATAAGGCTTTGAGTTCATCTTAAGGTTCATTCGCTAGAGCATGAGACTCTTAATATCAGGGTCATGGGTTCGAGCCCCATGTTGGGCACAAGATTCCTGCATTGCAGAGGGTTGGACTAGATGACCCTTGTGGCCCCTTCCAACTCTACAGTTCTATGATTGTATGACTAGAAATGTGATCCTCCCCCATCAATAAATGAAAGAAAAACAAGAATTGGGATGCTAAATTTTGAGTTTCACTTTCACTTGCCAAATGCAGAATGCCTGACTTAATCCAAACAGAAAACTGACATATGACTGTTTGAAAGAACACCATAGATTTATTATTATTGATTTATTATTATCAGTAGTAATAATTTGCTAGAATCAATTTAGATTAAACATGTTTTTAACAATTCAAAGTAGTTACTTGACATTCTTCCCCACCACTGTCATTTCTCAAAAACTGGAGCATCTAAGGGAATTCTGCGCTGATTTATCTCTTGAGTGAGCTGAACTCGATGGGAATTAACTTCCTACTAAAATAACACAGAGGGTTTGCTTTGAAAAACAAGAGATTTTGCTGCATCAATAGAAGAAGATGGGGTAGTGGTGGGATAACACAAGCAAAACATTCCCAGATAGTTCTGTACAGTACTAGTTGCCCTCAATGTCTGGGAGAAGATAAGAGAAGGAAGATAAACATGTTCCAGAAGGGATGCAGCAGTGAAAAGACAAGGACTCGGTTCTGCTCTTCTGACCATGAGATGACTCTTATCCATGCCCCTGCTCTGAAACGGTGAACGAGACATGTTTTGCGTACAGGTGCGTCATACACACTTGAGGAGCTGGGATGCGCTGTAGGTTTCTGTTGAGCGTACGCTCTTAACCCACAAGGCAGCCCAAAGAAGTGGGGTCTGTGCTGTGGGTTGCTGGAATGGTGGTGGTGGTGAAATTTTAGCTGCATGTGAAACTTGACAAACTTTCACCACGGGGGAATGATAATCGCTACATTGCAAATCTCTGCTCTGGGAGAACTGGACTGGGGCTCTGGCCCACAGGGCAGATTCTCCATGGACAGGGTGGGACAAGGGTGAGTTTCTCCCCCTCCCCTAGAGGCTATTTTGAACAACACAATGGTGGCTTTGGCTCGATTTATACCCAAAGTGAAGCAAGGGTTTAAAATAAAACTATGGTTTGCAACCCTCACAACCGCTTTGCCCCTCCGCTGCTCCTAACTGTGCCATTCAGGGGAGGAAATAACCTGGGAGCCTGGCCTCTTGCCATGTTCAAACCCGGGCTTGTGGTTTGTTCCCCTCTAAACCAGGGATGGGGAACCCGTGGCCTTTCAGATCTGTTTGGATTGCAACTCCCATCATTCCTGACCTTTGGCCATGCTGGCTGGGGCTGATGGGAGCTGTTGTCTAAAACATTGGGGAGCGGGAGCCTGGGGTGGAGGAGCAAAGGTTCCCCATCCCTGCTGTAAACAACTCACGAAAAGTAAACCACGATGTGTTATTGGCTTGCGGCTCGTGATTGATTTGGAGGAGATGGACCGCAAGTGCAGGCTTGCATTATCACAGTGAGCCAGACTCTGGCTTGTTTCTTCCCCCATTCTGCACGGTTGCCAGCAAAGTGCTCGGGTGCGTCAAACCGTAGTTTTATTTTAAACCACGGCTTAGTGTTGCATGCGAACTGGCCTGCAACATACTCTGTTGCAAACGCAGCTGTTAGAAAATGTTCAGGTAGGGCTGTGACTAGCCTGCGGCCCTTCAGAAATTGAGGGACTCCAGCTCCCATCAGCCCCAGCCGGCAGGGCCAGTTGTCAGGGGTGATGGGAGTTGTAGTCCAGGAGTAGCTGGAGAGCTTCGGATGAGCTGCCCCAGCCGTGGAGCCACACATGGAGAAGGCCATCAATGGCTACTAAACACAATGTCTTTGTTCTACCTCCACTGTCGGAGGCAGCATACTGGGAATCCTAGGTTCGAGCACTGTTGGCACTCGGGTCTTGCTTTCCGGCTTCTCATAGACATGTGGATAACCACTGTGAGAACGGGAGGCTGGACGATGTGGGCCTTTGGCCTGATCTAGCAGGGCTGTTCTTATGTTAAGGGGACCAGGATAGGATTGCACAGTGAATGCCTTCCAGGTGCCGTGCGGGAGACAGAAGAGAGGGCTTGAGCCCTGGAGGAACTGTAGGATCCTGTTCCTTGATGCCATCCATCTGGCATCATCTATATCAGGCTTCCTCAACCTCGGCCCTCCAGATGTTTTGAGACTACAGTTCCCATCATCCCTGACCACTGGTCTTGCTAGCTAGGGATGATGGGAGTGGTAGGCCAAAAACATCTGGAGGGCCGAGGTTGAGGAAGCCTGATCTATATAGGGGGCAGCTTTTTGCAAGTCCTACCAAGAATAGTAAAGGGTATGTTTAGGTTTATAGAAGCAAGCGGCAGCCATTAGCTAACCTTTCAAGTTGGTGCATGCGGTTCTTTCCAGTCTAGGGTAGGTGGGTATGGCATGACCGAAACACAGGTCAAAAGGGAAAGTCTGGTGTGGTTCTCTGTCATAGCTTTACAATATTGAATCCCCTGCCCCGAGGAGCTTACAGTGTAAACAACGGCAACAGCTAAGTGGAAAAATTAAAGGGATGCTATCAAAGTGGACCTGTAATGATTCAACATTTTACAAATAGATCCAGAAATAAATTCCACTGTGTCCTTTGAGGCTAAATCTATTTGTTGTATTTCTTTCCCATTTTTCTCTTAAGGAGCTCGAGGCGGTGTAAATAGATCTCCCTTTCCTCATTTGACACCCACAACAACCCTGGGAGGTAGCTTAGGCAGAGAGGCACTGACTGGCCCACAGTCACTCAGTGAGCTTTGTGGCCGCATCATCCCCAGTCACTGGCCTTGATGGATGGTCTCGTAGACCATAACGTCACAAGGACACAGGTTTGGGGATGGATGTTTTAAGATTTTCAGGTCCCCCATTTCCAGCTATAGACAGCGCACTGGACCAAGTCAATGTGTGTGAAATCTCAGGTTCCTGACTATTTCAGGTTGGTTTGCAAGAAAGCAAGTTGCTAGTCCTTGTGACTACCAAGAGTGCCAGGGAGATTTTAAAAGCAAAATGAAGCTTTTTAATTTTATTTTACAACAGAAGCGCTTATAAAAAAAATTGAGGCAGGGGTTCTCTTTCCATGAAGCCGGCTGCTACGGCATGCATTATCAGAAAAAAATGATGTTGTGTTTCTTGTATGAGAAATGTTTTACTTGTGTGCAAATTCAATCCACACACTTGTCATTTTAATCAGCTAAACCATTTCAAGGCTTCTTTGATCTCTAAGCCTTATTTTACCACATTGAGATTTCATATCCTAGGAAGAGCGCAAGGGATTGTCTTGAACATTCAAAGAGTTAAACTTGGGAGGGCAAGGGGAAATCTGATGGGATCGCTTGTTCCAAATTTACCTTATCTCCCCCACCCTCACAACTGTCCTAAGTGATTCCCAAACAAACAAAATGTAACCACTAAAATCAACCCCAACGACAGCAACCTTTTTGACTTGTAAGTTCCTTAACCCTGGTAACCTCAGCTATACACAGAACGGGATTTTGCACATGTTGGACAGAAACAAGCGGATCAAGCCACGGCCAGAGAGATTCCAGAACTGTAAAGACGTCTTTGATTTGATCTTGACGTGCGAAGAAAGGGTCTATGATCAAGTAGTAGAAGGTAAGGAGCGGAAAGTTGTTTGCTTTAATGGCAAGGACCAGTATGCTATGGTGCCAGGGGTGGGGGAGATGAATATGGCCCCCTGGACTTTCCTATCTGGCCCCTTGGGCACTCTCTGGGCCACAGCCCTCCTGGAATTCTTCTAACATAACTGGAATGTGTCCTTGAACTGTTCATCCCTCTAGCTTGCCTGAATAGAGAGAGAGAGGAGTGTTTGTGTGTTTTGCCTCTGGCCCCCGGAATGCTCCTTGTAAGGGAAGTGGCCTCCGAGCTAAAGAACGTTCCCCACCGCTCCTTAGCTGTTGGCGTATTGGACTAGGACCGCAGAGACTTTGGTTCAAATCTTCTCACTTCTCAAGCTTGCGGTGTGACCTGCAATCAGTCGCTCTTTTTCTTTCTGGCCCACTTTGCAGGGGTTGTCGTGAAGATGCATTTGCTGGGGGGCAAATTTTTCACAGAGGCTGGGTGGCCGTCTGTACTTGTGTTGCAGAACGTCCATCAGTCGGGGTTGGTCTCGTCTACCTTTAAAGACCTTTCCAACTCAAAGCCTCTTTATGATTCCAAACAGCGTTGAGAGTGGGCAGTGGAGACTGCCTACCATTCCCCTGAACTCTCTGAAGAAGGGATGGCGTAAAAATATGATGGAAACAATCTGGGCTCAAACTCGGATGGGGTTGTGTGTTCTGTGGTTCAACAAAGGTTTTGAAGAGAGAATCCTTCCTGGGAACTACAGACCTAGGATGCACCTCCCCCCCCCCCCCCAATCACAGTTCTGCAGCGGGAGCAACGGAATGCAAATCCAATTAGGTTTCTGCAGTGACGCTGCATTCCTGTTAGTGCAGCATTTATTCTGCTCTGCTATCCTGCTGTTCCTCCAAAGAGGCCTGGGAATCTATGCATTGGATTATTTCTGCTTCACCCTTGCATCAGCCTGGGGTTGGGCTTGAGAGCAGATTATTGGCCAGCTCTTGACTCATTGACTTTTGTGGCTGAGCAAGGATATGGAGGTAGGCCTCCTTGGTCCAGCAGTCTTATTTGCTGGGTGAAGTCCCAATGGCAGCTTGCATATCCCCAAAACAGGAGACAGAAGAGAGCACAGATTTGCATCCAGTCTCCCTTGATGAGAAGCTTCAAGGGCCCCACTTCTCCCTTTACAAACCACGCATGGGACAGGCTGCTCTTCAAATAGAGGACTGCCGTCTGGAAAGTAGGCCATGTGGCCATCCTAGGTCTGGGCCTTCCTCACAATGGAATGGGCCCATTATTGTCCCTGCACATTCGTTTGCCCTCTCCCTGAGTACATCAGAAGGGCCTCACTGGGTCCAAAGGTCTGTCTAGTTCCACTGTCCATACAAAGAGAGTGAGGCCAGCAGGCAGCCGTCGCAAGGGGGAGGAGAAAAGGATGGCCTTTTCTGAATCACAAGCGGGAAGAGACACTGTTGCACTTGCGGGCTTCCCATAGAACAGTGTTTCTCAAACTTGGGTCTCCAGCTGTTGCTGGACTACAACTCCCATCATCCCTGGCTAGCAGGACAAGTGGCTGGGAATGATGGGAGTTGTGGTCCAACAACAGCTGGGGACCTATTGCCATAGAGGCTCCTGTGGTTGGCCAAAATCAGAACAGGGTGCTAGACTAGTTAGGCCTTTGGCCTGATCCACCAGCCAGGCTCTTATTGAGACTCCCGGCTAGGTTAAGGAACTCGACAGGTCCCTGACGATGAAGGCCATCTTCTGATTCAAGGGCACACAAAGCCCTGCACAAAAACAGAACAGTGCCTTTTATTTCAGGAGCCCCTTCTAGGTTATGGTAAGGCAGGTCCGTAAGCAGCAGCATGGCATCGGACTTGCTGTTAAATGTGGCTCTTCCTCGCGTTTTAAATTTAAACTAGGCATTTATACAACTCTGGCTAAGCCTTAAAAACAAAAAAACCCAGCCTGGTTGGTGGTGTTGGCAGATCTGCCGCTCATCGTCTCTCCAGCTCCCTGGCTTCGCCTCACCCCCCGCTAGGATGTGGCAGATCTCCTTCAAATTTAGGAAGCAGCCGAGCGGACACCGTGGTGTCTCATAAATAAAAAATGCCCGGGGGCAAGGTGGGTTCCTCACCGGCCAGACTCTGCCTTCGCTCCAGGGCTGTCCACTCAGTTGCCGCAGAGCTCAGAGTGCATTACAGGGAGCAGTCTTGGAGCCTTCGCCGGTTTCCTTAATGAGTCGCCGTGCCGAGAGATGAATGAAATCTTCACTCTTTGCTTCGGGGGGAGCTGTCCTCCTTGAGACAGAGGGTTCATTTTGCAGCAGTTGGGGAAGGCGAAGGCCGTCTGCTTGCTAATTTCCACCTCCTTTACCCTCTTTCCTCTCTCTTCTGAATGCAATTCTTCACATAAGTGGCACAGGAGAGAGCCCAAATCCCTGCTGGCAGTCCCCGCTATGAACAGATGATGAGATTTTTAAGCTGGACTGCCTCGCTTTGCTTGGCCTGATCTGCAGGAAACACTGTTCAGGGAGGGGGAGGTGGACCAGTTTCTGAGCTTTACATTTGCAGGTCAGCATCTTGAGGCTCCTTAACGCTGCCTGGGAAACCGTGTCTCTTTGGCCGTGCCGGATCCGTGTACGTGACGGTGTTGTCTTAAAAATAAGCAAATCTCCTGTCCTGCTGTGGGTTCTGTTGGCGGAACAAGAGAAAATGCAGTTATATTAAGAGAGATGCAGTACAACACAAATCTAGGCCCACATTCCCTTCTCAGCGCCCTTCTGGGGGCTGCATGCAAGTGATAGGCAAGGCTTGAGACAAACGTGGGCCGAGCAATGAATGTCAGTGTGTTGCCTTTCTAAAAAAATAGTAGGCTGGTTTCTATGCTCGCTCTTCTCTATTTACCTGGATGAGTAAGAGGTGTTCAGCGCAACTCAAGGACACCTTCCAGCCAGGCAGAAGCACTCCAGGAGAGTTTGGAGCAGGGTGTTGCTTGGGGCCCAAGGGCCAGAGTTTATAGAGGGCCACATTTGGTTTTTCCCAATCCTTGCATTAAAAAGAACCAGCCAAGTGGCCACCAGATTAGAAGCCTCAAAATTGGGATTCCACCAATGTCCGTGCTGCTGTCAGACCCAACGCAAGGAGTGTTTTTTTCAAAGAGCCTGGGGAAAGCGGCCTTAGCTCAGTGGCAGAGGCCCTACTTTGTCCAGGGTTCAGACTCCCAACACCTCCTGTTTAAAATAGTTTGGGCAGCAAGCCGTGGGAAAGAGCTTGCCTGCATTCGTGGAGAGCCACTGGCAGTCGAGTTCCTAAACAGGCAGAGTGCGGACTTGTCTAAGGCCACTTCCCGCGCTCCTTAAGAGGCTTTGCATTATTTTAATTCCAGTCGCCCAAGACATGCAAATGTTGCTCCTTTCCTTCCCCTGATGTCGCCTTCGCCAACCTCGCACCCCCCAGACGTTGTTGGACCCCCAACTCCCCATCAGCCCTGACGGTCGGCCAACACCGGCTGGGGCTGATAGGAATCAGACTCCCAACAACATCCAGAGAAGACACGGGTTGCCTACTGCCAGTTTGAAGGCTTGATTTCGACCTGCACCCAAAACTACTTTTCTTTGTTTTTGCCCCTCAGACTTAAATTCTAGAGAGCAGGAGACATGCCAGCCCGTACATGTGATCAACGTGGACATCCAGGATAATCACGAAGAGGCAACGCTGGGAGCTTTCCTTATCTGCGAACTATGTCAATGTGTAAGTATTTTTATTTTAACCTTTTTACTCCAATTTCCTCTTTGGGATACCAGAGGATGCCTTTCCCCTGTGGTGATTTTGAACCCCTGCTAAGTCCTTCTGCTCCTAAGAAACCTCTGTGAAGCTCACAGGCAGGGGGTGAAAGCGAAACGCTTCCCTTCCTTGCTGCTCAGAGGTACACTGCCCCTGAACATGGCTGTTCCATTCCTCGCTATGCATAAAGACACCCACCTGGACCAGCAGCCTTGCAGCAGCCGGCCCTATCCCTCCAGGACAGTGGCCTTCTGCTGGTGAGCTGGGAACAACCAGTGGGCCGCTGCCGTGATCCAAGGCAGGCTGCAACAGGAGCACTTCTACCATGCAGATGCTGAAGCAATGGGCCCCCCAATGCATTTGTGCTGGCTCTGGAAAGGTCGAAGGTCTCTGCTCCGGCATGATCTGAAGCCAGAGGCTACACCTCTCTCCCATTCATCCCCAGCATTTGCTTGGGAAGTTCAGATTGCACAGCCAGTTCTTACCTTTGGCAGTCATGTGTGTGTGAGAAAGAGCGCTATCTTGGTACACATGCACAAAATCATAAGGCAAGCTGCCTTCCTTCCTGGGCAACCTGAGGGCTGATTGCCAGGGGCGGCTGCAGCCAGATATTAATAATAATAATTTATTATTTATACCCCGCCCATCTGGCTGGGTTTCCCCAGCCACTCTGGGCGACTTCCAACAGAATATTAAAATATAATAACCCATTAAACATTAAAAGCTTCCCTAAACAGGGCTGCCTTCAGATGTCTTCTAAAAGTTTGGTAGTTCTTGTTCTCTTTGACATCTGGTGGGAGGGCGTTCCACAGGGCGGGTGCCACTACCAAGAAGGCCCTCTGCCTGGTTCCCTGTAACTTGGCTTCTCACAGTGAGGGAACCGCCAGAAGGCCCTCGGCGCTGGACCTCAGCATCCGGGCAGAATGATGGGGGTGGAGACGCTCCTTCAGGTATACTGGACCGAGCCAGAGGGTGAAAGCAGCTGGAACACCAAAGGAGCGCCTCCCACCTCTCTATCCTCTGCCCTAGCAAGCAAGAGGCATTGTCACGGTTTCAAGGGCGCTTTCTATCCAGGCCAAAACACTCAAGGAAGGGTGCTGAGCAGAGCCACTAGGAAGGGTGCTCAGGGAGAGAGGCAGCTTGAAGGGCTGTGTTTGGCCCCCAGTTCCCCACCCCTGCTGTAGAATCTAGGAGGCAAGCATGGAAGTCCCCTCCCTCCACTGCCCATTGGCCATTGACCCTTGACCCACTCTGCTCCGATCCAGGGTGTTGCTTGCTCTGTGCGGAATTTGAGCAAAGGGCATTGTATTTGCAGCCACCGTGGCTTTTTACCTGCCCAGCCTGCCATTGTGAGCATGTAGGGAATTAAGGCAAAACCCTGAACTTTGAACGGAGCTGAGGCATCTTCTCTGCTTCAAAGAGAAGAAAAGAAACCAGCTCACTTCTGTGGTGGGTTGTTTTTTTTTTATAAAGTGGGTCAGCCAGCCCAGGGCAGACTTGGGAATAGAACTCTCCTCTCCACGGGGTCCCACTCCTGCGGAAACTAGGCCACTCTGCCTGCATTTGAATGGAGCATCAAGGAAAATGAAAGAAAGGCTTGAGCTCCTTCTCCGCTTGTCAAGTCTGGAGGCACTTTGTTTGGGCCAAATGGGGAAAGGCTGCTTTCACTCCCGGTGGTGTGTGATTTGCGTGTGTGTGTTTCTAAGCAGGTCCAGAGGCTATTAGAATATATAAAAAGTCAGAGTGGTTTAGAGCCATGCTCTTCAACCTGGAAACCTGGTCTTTCCAGATGTTTCAGAACTTCCATCACCCCAGTCTGCTTAACCAGTGTTGGGGCCCACGGTTGAAGAATGCTGGCTTGGGGGACAGTCCTGGGGTCTGTTCCTTTCGCAAAGCTTATGCGGCTTTCTTAGGCATGGGGTTAGCTGACACAGTGCCTTCCACGTGTTTTGGAATGCAGTTCCCATAACTCCCAACCTTTGGCCCTGCTGGCCGGGGCTGATGGGAGATCATGGAATTGTAAGAGTTGCAAGGTGTTCCCAAGGGTTATCTAGTCCAACTCCCTGCAATGCAGGAATCTCAGCTAGAGCATTCATGGCAGATGACCATCCAATCTCTGCATAAACATCTGAAGGGCACCATGTTGACTATCCCAGGCTTAGAGCAGAGGTGGGAGTCCTGGGGCCTTCCAGTTGTTCCCATAACTGCATCCTGACCATTGGCTGGGGTTGGCCCCAAGCCCAACAACATCTGGAGCATCACCGAGTTCTCCATCCCTGTTCCTTATTAGATCCAGGGTGGGGAGCCTTTGGCTTTCCAGGTGTCACTGAACTACAACTCCCATCAGCCTCATCCACCATGGCCGTTGGCCCAGCACGGTGGGCATTTTAGTTCAGCAACACCTGGAGGCATTTCCCTGCACCTGTTTGAGATGATAGCACGTGGTCTTCTTGTAGCAGACATCATTTCAGAAGAGGTGTCTGCCCTTCTGGTGCACAGGAAAAGTGCTTCTTTTAAGGCGGGTGGCGGTGGGACTCCTCTTCTTCGATGGGTGCTTTCCATTGGGTTTTTTTGTTGTTTGCACTTCTCTTTTTTGTAAGAGAACAGAGCAGCACAACCCTCCTTTCAAAATAAATACTTGAGCCCTAACCCTTCCCCTCTTGCCTGTTTGCTTCCAGATACAGCATACGGAAGACATGGAAAATGAAATAGACGAGCTGTTACAAGAATTCGAAGAGAAAAGTGGAAGGACTTTTCTGCACACGGTCTGCTTTTATTAAAAGCACGCCCGCCTCTTCCTCTTAGGCCTTACTTGCGGACGAAAGAAGCATGTGTTAGTTCTGAATCTACTGGACTGTTTTCTCCCTTCCTCTCGGAGAAGTCGACTTAACAACCTCTTTCATTGTTGCTGTTTAATTTCTCTCCCCAACCCGCGCGTGTGTTCGTTTTTTGTTGTTTTTTAAATTGTTTGTGGGATGTTTCCACGCAGAAACACAAAGGAACTTTGTGTGTAAAATGAAAGAAATTCTTTACATGAAACGCTGCTTTATTTAAGAGATTTTTTTTAACGAAAAAGAAAAAGAAATCAAGGTTTTGTTTAACTCTGCCCCTATCTCCTGTCTTCCCGCCTCCCTCTCTTGGATGCCCTTCTTTAATTGTTATAAGTAGGGTTTTAATTATAAAGAGAATATATGCAGATGATATCATTTATATTTTCCACCATAAATATCTTATTTCAGGTCTTGGGGGGTGGGGCGGCAGCGAAGGGGAGATGCTTTTCTTTTAATGCAACAGAACTGAACGGCTGGGATATGCAAAGGTATGAATGGGACAATTAATATCTGTATAATATTAGGAATGAAAATTGGAAGTGTCCAATAAATATAAACTGCGCCATTTCTGTCCTGTTCCTTGTGTTCATATAGAGATGTCTAATATATCTTCCTATATATGTAAACATGAAGGTTATCGTCGCACAGCCGCTGTCAGAAGAATTGTAGTGCCACATCGCAATCCTAGAAATTCATGAAGCTAGGGTGCGGTAGGGGAGCAAGACTGAAGACAGGTTGCACAAGAGCGACCACGGCATGAGAGTGAGATGAGGGAGCAACTGATGGGGAAATTGGTGGTTTTAAACAATGGCAGGTGTTTGAGAAAAGTACCTTCACAAAGTAGAGTATTTGAGGGTTCTTCATCCTGTATCCTCACACGAGGCAACAAGGAATGGAAGAGGCAGAAGTTTGAGTACAGTGAGAAGGGAGTTACACTGTGAGGAAAACAGGTGGCTGTTTTAAACAACAGCAGGGACAGAGGGAAATGGAAAATGTGGCAATTTTCAACAATGGCAGAGGTTTGAGTAAAGTAGGCAGGGGTTGACCCAAGGAGGGGATGTGACAGTTTAAAACAAGGCTTGAGTACAGTGAGAAGGAAACTGAAATATGTCCTGTTTTAGCTTTTTGGTGTTCGCTTTTGTGTTGTACCCATCTCTGCTATTTCTCCTTGTTGATTAAAAACAAATCCCTCAATGTTTCTCCAACTCCTGCTTTACTCAAACTTACGTAGTTTGAATACAGCTAGAATGGAGGTACACTGAAAGGAAAGAATCTGGCTGTTTTAAATACCATTTAGTGTTTGACTAAAATTCATTTGTTTGCTCTGGGTTTGCAGCCTCTGGAATTACCATTATGCTTAATTCACCGTGAATTCTGCCACTCCAAGGTACCTTATCAAGATCCGTTCTGACCTTGGGACACTTCAAGATCGGGAATCCTTCCAGCAGCAACAAATACCTTTCAAGATAATTTTTGAGAGTGGCAGGCATGAGCATAAAGTGATGAGCTGTCCTAATTTGTTACAACAACATGGCAACACTCCACAAACTTAATGGATTATGCTGTGTGTGGCAGGGGGAAGGGAATCCTACAATGGGCCAGATAGATAGATAGATAGATAGATAGATAGATAGATAGATAGACAGACAGATGGCACTTGGAAACGTTATAGTAGTTTGTATGGTACACAGAATTTTCAGCCTGGATTTCTGAAGGGACACAAGTTGCCAATGATAAGAACGATTAATAATACTAGGCATTTGCAGAGCCCCTCACTTATATTAACTTGCTGCCACTTTACAACAACCTTGTAAGGTAGGCTGGCTGAGAGCAGGCTGAGCTTAGTGGAGCAATGCCCTGTTCTCTCCACTGAACCAGCCTCCATTGGGTGATGGGAAAGGCCTGCGTTTGTTGAGATCCATGGAGAGATTCTTCTAGGGTAAAGAGCACAGGACTTGATGAGCAGATAACCTCTCCTAGGGGTTGGGGGAGAAATTTGGTTGGGCTCGCATTTTCATGTGGAACTCCCTAGTTCCTGAAACGAGAGGACCAAAACAGAACCGCGGTTCAAAGTGTGTGCTTCTCCTAAGGTTGCAGGTGCAATTCTCCAACCAAACAATGTCTCGAAAGAACATCTGTTAATGCATAAAGTAGTGAAAATAGGGCATATATTGGGAGAAAATTGCACGCAAATGCTGGTAAATTTCTATCAGGACATTTGGTTTAAAACTGAAGTTTGGAAACAATGAAAAAGGAGAGAAAATGAAACTGACAGATTTGACCCATCTTTAGCCTGACCTGGTATTGGACAATTTCTTGGGCTCCTGAATTAAGAGAAATAGAAAAGGTACTATTTAAATATATATGGATACAGGTTGAAGAATAGGGGAGTGTGGTCTGAGCAGAGTCTTGATTCTTTGGATAAAGTTTTTGAGATTGTTGTGTTTTTAAAAAAACGCACTCCAATTTACACACCGAATCCTGGCTCCAAATGATTCCTGTTGCGAGCCAGTGATATATTTCTGCTTCTAATGACTGAGCATCCTTGATCTCCGCTGTTCTTTCCTAATTTGGGCTCTTGACCAGTGGCTTTTGGCAAGCCTGCTCCAGCTGATCCTCACATGATCTGTGCTCGTAGTTTAAGGACAGGAGGTGGCAGAAAGGGGTTCCTGACCTACAGCTTACTTCTCTGTGTTTTCCAAGACTTTGACTCAACAGCAACTCGAAGAGGCTTGACCAAAATTCCTGATAGCTGTTGAGGTTTGTGTTTGTATTTATCTGTAATATTTATTACCCCAACCCGCTTCACCATAGTGACCCAGGGCAGGCTTCAACAATGCAGTATCGAGGTATATAAAAAAACATGAAAACATTCTGTGTCATGTCCTTTCCCCTTGGCATACATGAAACCATCTGGTGCTTCCGACATATTGTAAAGACTTATCTTTTTGTCCAGACTTTCCTTGACCCATAGGACAGGACACTGATTTATGTGACTGAGTCCCTTGACTCTCCAGTTTTCTTTCCTGTTTTATTGGTTTTTAGGCTATATATTTTTGTTGTTGTTGTTGAAATGGATCATGCTTTTCTATTGCATGTAGCCTACACCACTTGGAGATTTTAAAATATATTAGGTGGTTTAAAAAATGCTTTTAAACAAAACAAATAAATACAAATAATCGTCAAAACAAATAAAACGGTTCAAAATGGAACAGAACAATTTCAGTTTTCTTCCACTAAGTGCACAGCCTTTGGAAGCAATGCACCTAAATTAGTCCTGTCCATTAATTTTGATGACTCAACTCTTGAGTAGGATTGACTTTTTTTATTATTAGTTATTAAATTTTAATACCGCTTTATACTCGTGGGTCTCTGGGCGGTAACAACATAAAAAACATCATAGAAAAACAAAATACATAATCAAAATAACACACCCCAATAAATTCAGCAGAAGAGGTGTTTCTCTTTCACACACACACACACACACAACCTTAAGTGTCAAAGAGGTGTGTCTTCAGCTCATGGTAGATGCAAGGTGCATCTCTGTGTGTTCAGAGTGCCAGAATCTGGGAGCTGCTGCAGAGACACCCATATCCTGTGTTCCCAATCCCCAAACCTCTGTGGGTGGCAGTGCTACCAAGAGAACCTCCTCTACCAGTCTTATGATGGTCAGTACGGATGGAGACAGACCTTCAGATATTTGAGGCCTCTGGCTTGTGTAAGCAACACTCAGAAGAAACCCACTTAAACTGAGTTAGCCATGGTCAGTGGGTCTACTCTGAGTAGGGCTAGCACTGGCAATACACTTAAGCTCTCTAGGGTTGGGTTGGACCTGCTATGCAGAGACTGCCACCCTATTCCGGCATCTTACCTGGGAGTAAGTACCATTAAATACAGCGGGACCTCACTGGCAAATGATCTTGCCCAGGATTGCTGTGTTAGGCTGTAAATCCTAAGGATGATTGACCTGGGATGGCGTAAGGCCCGTGGCAATCATGGGCACGTAGCTCCAAACAAATGTGTGTAAGACTGCACTGTTTAAAAAAAAAAAAAAGATTTTGAAATTGAAATGAAAATTTTCTCTCTGGGAGGCACCCGCCTGTTTGGCTTCCAATAATTTTGCTTTTGGAAAGTGTGTGTGTGTGTGTTCCTATTTTCCCCTTGAATAATAATTTCATCTCAGGGAAATGTATGTCTTCCAGCCACATCATGGAATTTATTTGTCACCTGAATTCATTTTAATCTCTTTTTGTAAGGAGAAGTGGGGGAACCCCAATTGCCTATTACAGAGTACAGTGGTACCTTGGATTAAGAACTTAATTCCTTCTGGAGGTCCGTTCTTAACCGGAAAATGCTCTTAACCTGAGGTACCACTTTAGCTAATGGGGCCTTCCGCTGCTGCTGCGCTGCTGGCACACTATTTCTGTTCTCATCCTGAGGTAAAGTTCTTAACACGAGGTACTATTTCTGGGTTAGCAGAGTCTGTAACCTGAAGCATCTGTAACCCAAGGTACCACTGTATTGCAAAGAGCCCAAAATACAGATGCATAATTAAAATTAAATGTCCTCAAATTAAAGCACAAATAACTCCAGGAATTGGGGGGGGGGGGAGAGAGAGAGAGAGAGGGAGAGACCCTGCCAAAAACAGGATAGAAAGAAAATTCCAGGCCAGTGTCTTAAATATCTGTGTGGCTTGTTAAAGCGGTACACCATTTTGCCTAAGTCCTGCTGTGATGCCTCCACAATTAACTGCAGATTTCAGGTTGGCCTAGCGCAGAAATGAGGAGCTTATGTCCTTCCAGATGTTACTGGACTCCTCCTCCCATCATCCATGATCCATGGCTGTGCTAGCTATGGCTGATGGGAGATGGAGTCCCAACGACATATGGAAAGTGACAGTTCTCCCCATCTACTGCCTGCTTTCCCAAGCTCTACTCATTGGACAATAC